TTCAAACGCCAACGCGTTGTTCACGTAGTTACTGAGTCCTGATAGATCCTTGTTTGTGCAATGGGCTGGAGTTTAAATGTTCCCATTGATGTTTAGCATTACAATTGATCTGTCTCTTATTGGCATATGATCATACTTGGTATTTCCTCGATGTTGCCTTAATTCACAAGCAATATAAGCAAAAATGGATGTAGATACATCCAGCTTATAATACTTGTAAATTAAGGTAGTATCGAGCCAATCCGCACAGGAAACACATATGCCAATAAGAGAATGATCAATTGCAGTTCTAAACATAAATACAAAGATTCAAACAAACAATTCAAAATGAATAACAATAATGGGAATAATTTGTCAAAATAACAATACATAGATTCATGTAGAAAGATAATACCGAAATGATTTGTCTAAAAACAAGCTGTTCCGTTTTATTTATTTTGAAGGATAAAACATATATTGAAAATATAATTCATATGTAAATAGTAAAACCCATTATGATGAGACCTTATTATCAATGATAAACTATAATAATGATAATAATACGGATACTCACAGTAAATGACTGTTTTCAACATAACACAGATAATAATTAGAAAATAATAGAGAGGTAGAAAGAGAAAGAATTACAATCCCTATCAACTTTATCTCTTCTCTTAATAAATTAGTTCTAATCAAACTGAATAACTGACGAGTAAAAGTAACGTCGGAAAAAAACGAAAACAGACTACAACTATGAGAGATGAACAGAGAAAAGGTAGTTAAGTAATAGAAAAAGGGAAATAAACAAATGAAATCCTGAAAAAATAAACAACTGGAAAAGAGAACATTTGAAATTTTAGGATGTAAATATAAATATATGTACACGATAGTTTCTAATTTGGTATCTTCAGTTAAGGATTATCTTAAAACTAAGGAATACATAAACTTTAAAGAAACAAACAATATATATATATATATGCTAATTGTGATTACTTTGAAAATAAATACAAACTATGAGATCTGTTAGTGGTATTTGTCATAAACTGAAGTTATTTATGGTACCAATGGAAAATTGGACAGCTGTGACTGGTGGCGTTCAATTAGGTTAGAATTGAGGCGGTAGTTACCACGGACATATTGTAATAGTCATGTTATATTTTTTAATGATTGAAGTTGGGTATTCGGAGTTTGGATACTAACTCGGTGAATTAATTAATTCATTCATTTGAACAAAAACCTTGGTACAAGGGGGCACCAAATGCATATGTACCACATGATAGCAATGATGCCAATAGGAGTTATCATTGATTTGTGTGAGGGCTGTGATAGTGCTCGGGTGCCAGAACCGAAACAGGTAGTTTTCTTATGAGGTCACTCCTTGAGCCTCTGACTAAGACGTCTAATCCACAAGGTAGTGGAGCATCGTAAGCAAGTGGAGTCCCATGGTAGTCGGTGACCGAAAATTGTTTCACACGCCATTTGTTCCCTCAGGATACTGGAGCCCATGTGCACCACTGGTTTGGGATCCGGTTAAAGCGCCGGACATTCGATTTTCGTTCTCTCATTTCGTAATCAACACCCCCGCCACGAGAAGGCAGTGAGTAGGACTTCCCTGACAGAGCTTGTATACGCGTGGCCATGTGGGAGCATTTCGAGAGGGAGAGCGGACTCTCCCCACTCTCGGCCGCACCAGGGCATTTGGGGGCGACTCACCTATAGTTTCGCCCTCTATTCTTTATAGATTGATTTTACACAAGTTATGATTGCCTATTTGTGATATGTTGTAGTCTAACAATAAATGTATAAACATACATAAATGTTAAGGATATGGTGTAGTGAAATTCAATTGCTCACTGTGTTCGATTTCATATTAACCACCAGACTAGAAAAAGACTACGTTCTAGACCAACGGGCATAAAAACATTCGTGATCATTGTTCGAGGTTATTTGTTATCGTCCAAAGCATGACACTAATTAAGAAGAATATCATTAATCTAATAAGCATTGAAATACATATGTCATTAATGAACTCCATTACTAAGCGATTAAATCATGTGGACTCTAATAATGAATTGAAAACTTTGTTTTTCAAGCTAATAACAAAAAAATACTCGAAAAGCAGTTAAGAAAACAATCAAATCAAATCGTAGAAAAAAACAAACCGGAAGTCTATGGTAAGAAATACTGCCTTGAAGACAAAACAAGGGAAGGAGAGTCACTTCGTAATAGTAATAATAATAATAATAATAATAATAATAATAATAATAATAATAATAATAATAATAACTAAATAATTTAAAACCTTGGACAATACGACTTAATAGATTAGAAATTAATCAATTCAAGTAAAAAAATATTAAATTAATAATAATAATAGTAATAATAGTAATAGACTGTGGTTGGAGGCAGTCGACAAGAAACCCTTGACTCGGGTTTCGTGCTACTTGGCACTCATCAGCAAGGTGTACCTGTAATCTTGAGGGAAATTAATCATTACAAGTAAAAATATTGAATCAATAATAATAATAATAATAATAATAATAATAATAATAATAGTTAAAAAGGGCAAGAAAAGGTCAAAAAAATCATGAAGCCATTGCAATTAAGTAACTGAAACCGGATTTATGCATTCAAAAAGAGACTTTATTAAACTTATCACTACTCTGGTAATCTCTTTTATTTCCGTTTGTTTTTTGTTGTTTGGTTATTTTATTCATTTACTTATTTTAAGATATTTTATACTCTCCCCCCCTATTCCCTAATTCTTAAACTAAAATTTTATTCACACATTTCCGCCACCTGATCCTCTTAAATTATCTTAACTTATCAAATTCTATTTAATTATTATTACGTAATCTACCTTATCATTATTCAATTCCATTAATCTCTACAATTATCACACAATTTATGAACTTCACCAAACTATTATACCACCCAACCTGAATTAACCCCTTTTTTGACCTCTGACCTGTTTCTAGCATATATATATATATATATATATATATATATATATATAGTTATATATAGTTATATATTGTTATTATTGTAATTATTATTATTGTAATCCAGTTATTTACACCCACTTATGTCAATTGTTTCACACTATCTCCATGTAAAAAATTCTATCACAATTTTGGTTTGTAAGCAGCTGACGAGAAACCTCGAAATAATATGAATTCATACTATTCTGCATCAATGTTTGTTCTTGCTCTATTTATAGTAGTTTAATTGACATTTTTAAACTTCACAGATTGAACTCATTAAACTTGGAAACAAGTTCTTTCACTATATATGAAACATATATACACATTACTTAAGATCAGAATTCAGTAGTGCTATATATATATGAATATGAATATCGTACACAAAAATTATGATTATTCTCATGAATATGTATAAAATTATTATATTGTAAATGAAAAATCATCAATCAAAATGATTATACAATTCAACTTACTTAGCATAGAAACAAAAATCAGGAAAGAATAAGAAATGAGGAGACGTTGTTGTTGTCAACTAGCAGACAACTATTAATAATTGGTTTGTTTCAAAGATGAAGAATTTTAAATAATTAGAATTGTCAAAATCTTTGAATAATAATTAATCTTTAAACATTGAATAGTCTATTTCAAACGGATAAACATTTGTACAAAGAGGCACTAAACAGATATGCGCCACATAAATCATTCGATTTATATGAGGGATGGCATAATGCCCAGGTACCCAAACCGAAGCAGGTGGTGGGGTGGGGCACACTCTAATAATTGAACAACTTGCACTTTTTTTTCTGACATTATGTATCAATTCAAATAAAATTTTATGTGATTTTAATGTGGAGATGATTTTTATCACTAACATGAAAATAACTTCGATTGATGAACTAATAGAACGTGATTTAATTGGTGATCTAACATAATGTGAAATTTCATAACAATATAAGTGATTAAAAGCTGGACCTACACATATCACATCGAGTACGTACAGTATAGACCATCAGACTAAAATCTAATGATCTTCATGACATGATATAGCATGATTCACAATCTATGTTATTGGTGAATGAAAAAAAAAACTGTATTCAACTTGGTTGACTACACTTTGTACTAGAACCTAAGAGGTCTATCTATCTTAAACCTTGTCGTCAGTGAGCATGTGATAGTTATTTATGGAAAGTGGAATATAGTTTAAGTGTGGTTTCCAACACTAACAAATGTCCACTGGATGATATGAAATGAACATAAAGTACCATCTCAGCAAAGAGTTGTGATTCTAAATTTATTTGCATTTATCGGAAGGACGCATTTACAAATCTAAAGAAATTGATATTTAGCAGTAAATAAAAAAAGAGTCACTCAACTTATTTGTCAGTGGTGTTATCTTTGACTTATGCAGACTACAAGTATAACTCGAAATCTACAAAAAATATTATAACGTTGTAATATATATTCTTCTTAGATGATCTGAATGGTTACATCAGGCTGATACCCGTAAGACATGCATCCCGGTTACAAACAAATGAATACAGTGACTAATATATCACTACTTAACCACAGTGAAACTAATGTATATAATGCGAAAAGAACTATTCTTCATAAACACAAAAATGTTATTGAACTTAAACGAATATCTTGAAGTTGAATTTCAGGTCTTGATCATGAAGTGATTCATTGATTCTGACCAACCATGTATACGTAAAAATACCTGTATTCTGTATTCTACAAACAGTTTGTAAACCCAAAATAATGGACTTTTTGAGATTCATAGATTCTACAGGCAATTAAATAATTTCACTGTATTCGATGAAAACATGAATGACGAGGATGTTCATTTATTCGATTGTACAACTTCCTAGTAAACTTAAATATATCATCCATTGTTCCTACGGTTTTTTTTCCAACTTTCTACTCTTAAAACAATACACAGATTAAGGTACATACATACATGAAAATTATACACAAATTCCTAGAATGGTCTTTAAACTGAATAATCATATCGTACAGAAAATTTAACACGAAACTTTTACGATAGAATAATTTATTAAAAATATGTATACAGCTGAACAGCAACTTAACACGTACAATAAACTATACTACTTGCCAATAAACAGTAGTATAAACAAATATTAAAAATAAATAAGTCAGTTAGTTATTTACCAAAGCAATCTAGTTACTCCAATGATATGTTTGCATACACTACTCATATTATATTCATAGTAAACAAACATTTTATGCAAAATTAGAATACATTGATGAATGTTCATTTAATGAATTATTATGATCACATTAGAATAATAGTAGTGTGTATAGATGAGAATACAACAAACCATGGTAAAAGAAAATGAATAGAAAAGAAAATATGCATACTTTGAAAAATTTGTTATTTGTATAAAGATAATGTGTTGACAAATATTTCCAAAGATTTTACGTACAAACTCAGATTATAGGAAAATCAAACTACGAAAAAAACCAAGTATAGAAATACAATGACAAAATCAAAGGAGAACAAGATATGAGACAAACAACAAAAAAAAATCACAAACCGAATAACCATGAGTTAAAAACAAATAAAAGAATGCAATCTATCAGGGGATCATATCAATATCAATATTGTTAGACAATGAAAGGTTATTCTGTTTGATAAATATACATCGAGTTAACATCTCCTTAATCCGACTGCTTTGTCGAATTACAAAAGAAAACTATAGAAAGAGAAAAAGTTATGAAAGACGTAAAGAAGAACAAAAAAAAACAACAAATACAAATACCTTCTTATTTTGGTATACAACATTTAGAAATGTCATTCATTGTTGTTTTGTTGTCCTTCTTTTCTTTAAAGAAAATATTCACATTCATAATATTGTAGCAGGGTATTTTGTCTTTAAGTTTATTACTTCATGGTATTGATGATAATTCATGCAATTGATTTTGTATATCTAAACTTGAATCTAAACAATCTTTACGTATTTGTTTACTGATCGATTCAATCTATATTGGTGATTATTGGTGTATCGGTCGGTCGGTCAGTCGGTCGATAAAAAGTATGATAAATTAGAATGAGCAGAAAATGAGGGGGAGAAAAAAAACATTTGAATGATGTATATTGACAAAAACAAAAACCAAAGAAAAGATCGTATAATAATAATATAAATAATTCAATGATTACAATATTTTATACATTTAAACCCTTAGATTAAAATAATATGAAGGAAACTTATGTTAATTTAATTCAGTTATTCAGTTACTCGGAAGAATTGACTTACATTATGTCATAAAACATCAGAATTACAATTTTTCTACTTATTCAGATCACAACAAAAAAGGTATGTTTATTATTAACTGTCTACCTGTTATATCCGGATGAGAATAATTGAGTGGAAACCGTTAGGAATTACTTATGAACTGCCTGGTGATTTCAGTCTTTTCTATTGCATGGTAAGTTTAGTATAAAGTAGGAAGTGTATACTATAGTTGATTCGGATCATAATACAACAAAACACTCAACAGAATATCTATAATGAAACTATGATTTATATTTCATTTAATTTTGTACTTCAAACTTTTTATTAGACATTTTTGATTCTCACAACCTTCTATGAATGGACGTTGAATGATAACACGAAGGGGAAATATGAAAAGTTTTTCGTCCAAAGTTAGTTTAGTAACATGCCAAAAGAAATTTCAATGTTTGCCACGCTGGAAAATATTCCCTTAGAACAATTGTAAATACTTTTCGAACAATATTTAGAATAAGTGACTGAGCGGATAGCGCTCGAAACGAACCGTATTGGGTTCAAGTCTCAAAGAGAACGTTAACACTGGAATGCAAGTACATCCAACTGACGAGCCCCAAATAGGACGAAACGCGCATCTGACATTCTAATACTAGCCACCATCTAGATGGTAGTTGGAGGTAGTCAACAGGAAACCCTGGACCCGGGATTCGTGCTACTTGGCACTCGTCAGCAAGGTGTACCTGTAATCTGCGGTTATAATTTCAATGATTTTATTTTCTAGATATTCAAAACAATTTCAACTACACGAGCTTACTTCAACAAAGAGAAAAAACAGAACAAATCAATGAATACTTACAATATTATGAAACATTATTGAATCTTCATTGTCACTCTCAAACTCTTCAATTTTATCTAAATCATCTAAAAATCGTAAAGTCAATGAATCATAATTGGCTCGAACAATATCTAAAACCTATTGAAAGATAATAACAATAATAAAGAAACAAACAAAATGAAATGACAAATTTATTATTTAGATTATAAAAATTGGGCATATTAAAAATGACATAAATTACTGATTATATATATCATCAGTAGATAATAAGATCTTATTTTTATATTGTCATTGTTATGAATGGATACGATCGTTATATATTAATTGTCATGTTATCGATTAATATTTCATACTAAATGTATCAATGAAGTTATAGTGTTGTTATCCGTTTCGGTGAATAGACATAAAGGCACAGAAATGCAAGTAACTAGTATGAATTCTTGGTGATAGGTCTTATAATGAAAAATGCCTACTGAAATATAATTTGGGTCTAGAAGTTTCATTTTCACTAACTCCAATCATCTAACAACAAACACTTGTTAAGGCAGATTTTAATTTGTCCATAATTTACAAGATAAAGACAATATGATGTGATTAAAATACATTGATAAAGCGTTAACATGAAATCTCTTGAATCCATTCAAGAGCATTTGTGTAATTCCATTTTTTAAAGTATGATATTGATTAGTAAAAACTATTCATACTAGAGAAAAAGAGTTTAATATTTTCTGAGGAAAGGGTGTGATTATAAAATAATGAAAAAAAAACACGTCATTCAAGCTAACGGACTCAGTCACTAATTATTGATCTGAATCAATTAGGTGAAGTCAAGCCTAACTGATTTAGTCTACAAATAAACTTAGACCAATGAATAGAAATTATACATGACAGCAGCTCGAAATCGAAAGGATTTTTTTTATACAATAATTGACTTACTGAAACTTCGTTATTTTTACTTATATATTTATTTACTTGTAATTCTTTACTCTTATTTTCCTCAGTACTGTTGATAATAGAAATAACAATGACATTCATTTAAAAATCCACGAACTCCATTTTGATCCATAACTTAAGTGTGATTTATCTTATTTTATTTCAACACATAGATAATAGTACAAAGAGGCACCAAATACATATGCGCCACACAAATCTCATTCGATATGTGTGAGGGCTGTGATACTGCCCGTATACCCAAACCGAAGCAGGTGGTTTTCTTAGGGGGCTACTCCCCGAGCCTTCGACCTGAAGGTCTGATCCACAAGGCAGTAGAGCATTGTCAGGAGATGCAGTCTCATGGAAGCCGGTGACCAACAATTGGTTCATACGCCATTTGTTTCTTCAGGATACTGGATCCCATGTGCACTGTTGGTTTGGAATCCGGTTAAAGCGCCGGACATTCGCTTTTCGTCCTCTCATTTTTGTAAACAACACCCCCACCACGAGAAGGCAGTGAGTAGGACTTCCCTGGCAGAGGCTATATACGCGTGGCCATGTGAGAGCATTCCAAGAGGGAGAGCGGAGTCTCCCCACTCTCGGCCGTACCAAGGCATTTGGGGGCTAAGTGTGATAAGTGGAGAGGTGCTATTAGCCTAAACAAATCAAAATAACAGAGCTAATCGCTGAGACTACTAAGTCATCGCGGTCAATATCATTCATTGTTTTAAGTTCAATTCCACTTACAAATTAATTACTGATGTCGACAATTCAATATATATACATACTTTTATCTGGATCATGAAAAATGTAGTTTAGTCGTCTTGTACACATACATAAAGTCAGTCAGTAACAACGTAGAACTTCGTACGTACGTACATCAATTCAAGTTGTCAACACATACATAAAACACAAACTAGTAACTACTTAGATTCAACATAAAATATAATCAGATACATAATAAACTCAAAGTGAAAAATAAATAAATTGGTATTTGTATGTGTATGTGTCTGATTATGTGTTGATGTATGTATACCGTTTTAGAAATGACATAAACAACTGTTTACACACATATCTACAACAAATAACACAACCAATATCGGTTTAACAATTGATTAAATGTTAACAATGATGGTATTCGTCTAAATAGTAACAGTAATAAGTAATATTACTATCATTATTATAACTATTCATAGTTATTATTGTAGATTAAAGAAACAAACAAATATTCAGTAATAGGAATGTCTCAATAAAAAGATATTTTATTAGAATAAGCAAATACTTTTACTTTAGAATAATTTTCATTTAATTCATGATACAGATTATTGAGATTTAGTTTAGTAACGGATTTATATCATTAGAAAAGTATCAGTTGCTTTGAGATAAATCTTGGAAGTGAAGAAGTTTCAGACAACTAATGGATTTCAATAAAGGTAGTGAAATAGTTCTTAAATTGTACTAAGTGGGAAATTTATGATATAAACTCAGTACAACTTGAAGTTATTTTGATGACAGGAGAACTGAACTTTTTAGCAACACTATATTGTGAACAAAGATTTACATACATACATGACTAGAAAGCATCCGTTACTTCACGATAAATGGTGCGGATTACCAACTAGCACGAAACCTAAGTCTAAGGTTTCCTACCTGAGACCACCAAACACCTCAATATAGTGTATTCGATGTGGAATCCCTAAGATTAGTGTCCACATTGCAGCTTGGCCGAAAAAACCAATCAACAATAAAAAGTTGGGATAAATATGACATTAATTACTACCCATCGGCCAACTGATTACAAGATTTATTGAAAGTGAAAATTGGATTCAATATTACGGTCAGTACAGACAAATAAAATGAGTTTAAGTGTTATCTTAGTAACAAGAATCTTAAAAAATGTATATTACAGGTAATAAAATGTGCCTGAACATTATAATACTGAAGAACTGTAAAAAAATTTTCACTATAAATGCTGAGACAATATCTTCTAGCTACGATTTATTTTTAATAATGACAAAATTTACAGCAAAGTGATTTTTTTAACTACAACCGATTAAGGCTATGTAAGCGAATTATGAAATATGTAACTTGTTATTCTACTGCATGAACTATATGCACAAGCTATTGAATGTCTGGACACAGTAGCTATGTGAATAACGCAATCGTGTTTGAGGCAAGCGGTATTGGGTCCGAGTCCCGGAGTGAAAATTAACGCGAGAATGCAGGTACATCCAGCTGACGAGTCCCAAGCAGGACGAAAAGTGTATATTGGATCCTATTACTAGTCACCATTCATCTCTGCTTATAAATAACTAGTAACTTTTAGATACTCAGCAGTTCGTGCAGTGCAGTAAAGCACTTTAATTTTCTCAAGTTTAACTAAGTAAAAGCAGGTAACAAAAAGGATTGCCTTCGATACATTAGGCCAATCACAAATTGGCTAAATCATAGGTGGACGTGATTGGCTAAGAAATAAATTGCACTTCCAAGGTAAAAGACACAATCGGTGGTCTAATTTTCGAAGGGACAGATATATATGTAGATGAATGAGTACAAATACAGCGATTCAGTTAACCCATAGACTCCCTTTTTCATTGCCAGTGTTCTTAATGGAGTAGGCAGTTAAGTTCATGTATAAATCGGCTGCATATCAGCATCAACTAACTCGTGGACACTGTATGTTACAACAAATTTAACAAGTTATAATGTACAAGGACGGAGAGGGTAATATTATTTCGAAAATTCATTATATATATGAACAAGCATTTACTTGATTCTCCGTAAGAGAAGTTACATTATTTAATGTTGAGAATGAAGCAATTTTAGCGTTGAAATGATTAACAATTGATCTGAAAAAGAAAAGAAAACATTCACCCATATATAATAGGGAATATAAAGCATAAATAAAGATGATAAATCAGAGAACTGTTAATAAATAATGAAATCATTAACAACTAACTAATTTAGTAAATATTTTACATAACACATACCGTAGAGTGCTTAATTGAAGTACAACACAAGATGCAGCATCTTTAATTTCCATGACAGTACTAGTTGAATGTTGAAGAGCTATATACACATGAAAAAAGAATATGAGAGTGAGAGGAAAAAATGATAAACTCATTTAATTGTGATTAAATCTATAACTAACATTCATCATACATATTTAAACAGTTATTAAAATGAGACACGTGTAGGTAGCTCATATTATTTCCGCAATGACTTAACTTTAACGGTTGCGACATCCCACTGGAGCTTCCAAATCTTTAGAAGCCAGTCATAGGTAAACATGTAATAGTGATAGTAATAATGGTTTTCATCAATATTCAGATGGTGAGTAGTTTTATTCTGATATTAATTATCGTCATAAAAAAGAACTACACGAATATTTCTAATGCATGCGTAGTATATATCTAAGTTCAATATTCGTGTGTTAAGGGGTTATACTAAAGTCTCTTTATAGATTAAGTGAATTATGCCGATGTAAATGGAACCTCACAATCTTGAGACACATTCCTAAATTAAAAACCATACAATTGAGACAGCAATCGGAATTCGCTTGTCGATCTAGGCTAGACCACCATTGAAAACCTGGAATTAATGAACGGCAGCTTCGTCTTAGTATGGAACTCCTCAGCGGTGCGCATTTTCGATCCCGCTCGTGGGATTCTAAACCATTAAATTGGCATCCGATGGTGTTAATATCTAACTTCAATCGGTTCATGATCTTGAGCAACCCTTCAACGATTGTCTGAGGTGAATGACTATCACACAACCGATACAGATTGAATTCGTGAATTAAACCGTTTACATACTACAATCTCTACAAACCTCTATGACTCTAGCTCGAATCAACAATAACACAGATTGGTTATTTATGATAATATTGATAATAATAATAATAATAATAATAATAATAATAATAATAATAATCAGTATAAGCACATAATGTACAAAAAACTGTTCAAACTTACAATATTCATAAAGATTCTCAACAAGTAAATGCATACGTATTAATTCATAGTATAAGTTATCATAAACGTCAGGCGATTGAAGAAATTTATCACCATGAAGAATGAAAAAGTTGAATATTTGAAGTGACTAGATGATTAAATATAAAAGGAAGATAAAGGAAAATAAAAATATCACGAAAACTAGAAAGTGAATGAATGGAAGATAATATCTACCAACTTGATATATGTAACTTATTCAGTAACTATACTTTTATTTAATTCTATTTATTATTTAAACACATAAACATTGGCAACAAATACAGACGCGCCATACTTCGTCTTTCGATTTCAGTGACGGCTGAAATACGGTCCGGGCGCCCGAACCGATGCAGGTGGTTTTGTTAGGAGGCCATACCCTGGGCATTTGACCTGAAGGTCTAATCCATAAGGTAGTGGAGCAACGTTAGGAGATACCGGCCATGAACAATAAGTTCATACGCCATTTATTCCCTAAGGATCCTAGAGCCCATATGCACCATTGGTTTGGAACCAGGGTTTTTCAACTCCTCTAGGTGGGCCCTCTATATCCACCAACCCGGTTAAAGCGTCAGACATTCGCTCTCTGTCCTTTCAATTACGTAGACAACGGTATTTATGAACGTACTAGGGTACGATGTTTATGAAACTCAAGAGCATATATGTGATTTATCTCAAAAACCACGATACAAGTATATTATATTCTGGTAAAATTATGTACCCTAAACAATAGTACTTCAAGCAACAACCTAATTTAACGATAATTGGAGACGATAAACAAATCACTGTTTTAGAAATCTAAGATAAACTGCACATAGAATGCATAAAGATTACTTAACATGAAATATAAGAAAAAAGTATTAGTGATATTGTGGTGTGTGCAACAATAATAATGTTTACCAAGAAGTGCATTTTTAAGAATAGTATTTTCATAAAACAGTTAGCTAATCAACATTCATTTGTGAGATTAAAACTAAATATGTATTGAACCTTGTTACAAACAGATTATCAAGGTTCTAAAAATAATAACTATTAGAGTAAACAACCTTTTGATAAACAATGATTATGCTCTCTTTTAATATTATTGATAACTTAACAGTTAATAAGACCTACGAAACAATAGTCTAATATTTATTAGTAAAATGTTTGTTTATAATAACGAATGCTCTTGGTGGATGAGTTTGTAGTAGAAAAAATATATTAGTTTAAGGGATTTTGCAGAAACTAAAATTCTTGGAGTTTATATGACGAAGTGATTTTGACTAGACCATTATTAAGAAACAGGAAGCGAGATGGATAGCCATTTTAGTCGTAGTATGGGACTTCACAAAAATATCCATCAACGACTTCACCATAGAGGATCGAACTCAAGACCTTTGATCTTTCGTAGGAATACGTATGCTTTATACAATTGAGCTGGGATCCAATAATGTGCTTGTTAGCTTTAATTAGCTCGCAATACTGAGCGACTAACTTTGATGGTTAACTATCTTACATCTGATATGGTTGGACTCAATTAGCCAAGGTTTCTCACTAGAACCATAGGAATCCCATTCTGAAACTAGTCACTAGTGAGCACAAAATTAGTATATTAGCATAGTGGTAGGACTCTTTGCACATCGAATCACTGACTAATCTTGGCTAGACCATAAACGGGAATAAGGAGGCACTGGAACAGACTATTTTATTGAGGATTTCAAGAATATTTATATGGAATTTAATGTCTAACCAATTACTTAAAAAATCGCTACAAAACTTTAATACTGATTTTCATAAGAGAGAAGAGGACATCTTTTCTATATTTAACAAATGTGACATAAAAAATTTCTTTGAGAATAGTCTATATCAAGGACTGATCTTACTAAAGTAAATACTAAAATCCGAGGAGCAGACGATAACTGTTTCATCCTACTATCGGTTTCATCAGCGTTAGCGAGTAATCATCATTCATTAACGTTATCTGTTTTAAATTGAATAACATTCATAAACCTCCTATACGAAGAATGAATTTCTTTTTTTCAACAAAAAAAGAGTAGTTCTGATAACAACCAGGTAAATAGTATCAAGAATTCTACAAACATAAAATCAATAACTAGATTATATCATACCTTTTCCATTAATTTCAAAGCATCAAGCAATTGTAAATTATTGCAATCCAAGTTGAGGACAAATTTGAGTAAACTTAAAATAACTAATAATGTAAACGAGAAGAAAAGAAAAGGAAGGTTTCAGTTATTGATTTGATACTCTTTTTAACAGTTATTCATACTTATTCATAAAGTTACGTAAACGTGTTGTATGGATTTGTGCGCGTAGATGAACGATATAGCATTAAGTTATAAGTTCGAGTCTTGCACCATTAAATTCGGTTTTAACATTAGTCGTATTTAATTGAACACATGCAGTGGAATAGCATTTAAGTTACATTATTGAACGAAGAAATTAACAATATAAGTTTAGAGTTGTATACACGAGATGATTATCTTTTAACATTAATAATAATTTTTAAGTAGGCTGGTGTAGTAGTTATACAATTTTGATAAATACAAATTTATAAAAGGAAGCTTTAGTAGTAATGTTGTGTATGCTACTTATGTTGATAGGCATATATAAGATGTAACACCAATCAGAAGTGGAGTGCCTGGCAGAAGAAGGTTGAGAAGATCGAAATGAAGAAAACAGGAAGGTAAACAGAGAGTAATTGTAATAACAGGAATGAAGGAACAATAAAGTTATGCAAATAAAGTAGTTAATGTGTGGTTTTCGTATTTTACGAAGACATTCTGTAGTTTTGCATATAACAATAAGTTGGTTATCCCCACCTGAGCTCTCGTTCACTACAGTAGTGAGCTTTGAAAATAAAATAATTTGCCCAAAATATTTATATATGAAGTTTATGAGTTATGTTTTTAACGTAACTAATAACAAGATGTGGGTTACCAAGTATAGTAAGATTTAGAGTAGGATACAAAATGAAATGGTTTACATTTTATCCTAAAATATTTATTACTCTTAATTTGACGTAAGGTGAATAACTATGTGACTAGACGCTCGATGTTAGCTAAATAAGGAGAATATTAGCAGAAAGTTAGACTCGGTCAAAATCAGAAACTTGACATCAATCCATAAAGATAGTGACAATTGGTCTGAAGCATTTTGTTAAATACAGAGTATTTGAAGCTATAAAATTTTTCTTACGAAATATTAGTTGTTAACATTACAATGAACTTTGTGATGTATTAAAACTGGAGTAAGATAGATATGATCCGATTTTCATCGCTTGAACATCATAGTAACTGTAACTTATTATCAATGGAAATTAACTACCCAGATGAACGATATAAATTGAGAGTAAAAAGGTGATATGTAGACGCCTTAACAAAATTAGAACGCGACTTAGTCAATACATATGAAAAAAATTAGAATTAGTATTCCATTACACTGTCCAATATTGAATAATTCAATCGAAATAATACTTATATTATTAAATTGTTTATAATGATATAAGAAATCAGACAATGTTTATAGGCATCTGTTCATAAGGATTTGATACAAATGTGCATTGATTAAAAAAGTAATAATAAAAGAAATAGTAGTGGTAAAAGCAACAAAAGAAGAAGAGACTAAACAAGTAATAAAAAGGGGTGAGACCAAAATTTATGAACGACCTTTGAGTGACGCTAAACTGATCTTGAGAGGGTCTACCTAATAACTAGAACTAAATGACGATTATAAATTATTGTGAGGAATTCCAATTATGATTTACAGTTGATGGTTAAGGTTAGGAATCAGATTCAGGGTTTTCATTACGAACTGACATCAGTTATAATGCCAAGACTCTATTTAGCCAAATGGATGAGTGAATTTCGGGCCAAAATCCAAGACATCTTATCTTATTGCCTGATTGGTTCGTTCATAAATTATAGTCTCGTCTAAAAAGGAAATGTATTTTAAAATAGAGTGAATACATTTGTATCATGGCTACTGATTTCGATCCATGTCATTCAAGATTTTCAATCATTAATTACGACAATCATGTGTACTTCCACAACCAAGTAGTGTAAATAGGCAAAGTTAAATCTATGATAATTATGAATCTATGAGTCTATTCTGTCAATTTCTAAATGTACAGGCCAAAAAAACTATTATAGATAAATTTAAAAAAGAAAATACATTTTTAAAGGAACGATAACAACAACAATAACAACAGAAAAAAAGGGTATCTAACCTGTCCATAATGATTTCCAGTCGAATTCCAAACGAATTTTATGCATTTTCTGATAACATAGTAAATTTTGACATACGATTAAACAAAGTCTAAGAAGAATAGATATTTAGAAGCGGAGGGCATGACAATAGATTAAGTTTATAATGAAGAGGAAAAAGGAAAATAGAAGAGTTGTTATTAGCCATGAATTAACCAGTTACATTCCAAGTATATCATCATATCATTATTTCCCATATAAAACTAGTTCAGTTTAATATGAAATCTAAGTCTTCACAGAGAAGAAATCATAAATATAAATAGATATATGATACTAGGGACAAATGCCTACAGAGACGTTACTCATTGAGATGACGGGATAAGATGATATTGTTTAGGTCAATTCTTCCAATATCAATTCATTATGAAATTCAATAACAGTAACGTTTTATGGTCAATCGATCTATTCAGTATAAAATTTGTTTTATACGACAAGTGAGTAGTGTCAGTCGGTGTGACTTGTTTATTCTCTGTATTAATTCAGGTGGATTATAATTATTGTGTGATTTTAAAGTAACTCTGAATTCTGTCTACGTATTAGTACCATAACGTCTGCGTGTAATTCGGAGTATAAATGATCATATTGCAGTCTAAAGATGATGTGATTTGGGATATGTTTGTCGTCATGTTTTTCATTCAACAAATTTTCACTGAGCCAGTCTTTCGTGTTCTCACTTTAAGTTGTAGAAGTTGAAGAAGTTCCGGTTTTCCAGTATAAGCAATAGGATCAAGGAATAGCAGTGGTTCCCAAATGTCAAGTAAAAGCAATAAGACTGAGGATCCGTCGGAGTTGATACATACATAACCGCGACGACTCCCCAAATATAGCAGTTCGTTGTCCAGCTACAAAAGTCTCAACTGGGTCAATTTTACAGTTACAACGCTCATAAAAACAGAAGTTTGTTATATCCGAATTATTTATGGAGTATTATTGCACATTTTCTTACTGGATAATTATTAAGTAGTTAGATTATACGCCTATATATATATATATATATATATATATATATATATATATATATATATTCCTTTTATTATAAGCTTCCATTTGATCCATTGACTATTGTTATATGATTTACTACTCTTAACTTATTCCCAAATTATCAGTTACAGTATCTCACACTCAGCCACGTCTTGCCTGATCTTGTATAATTGTTATTTTCTACTTTATGGTGTGATACAGTCTGGTCAGCTTGTATATAAACGAAGTATGTCTAAAATATACGATTCACACAGCGGAGGCTGATATTTATGTACTGGACTGGATGGGGTGGGCTAGTCAAGAAGTTGATACACAGAGGACCAATAAGGATTCAGAGTTGACTCTAGGCTGCTCGTACTGGTTCATGCGTCATTGGCCTGGCACAGTGCCAAGGTCATATAAACAGGTGTTCTATTGGCGATTCAGTCACGTGATATATTAACAGGTTCATGGGACATAACAGTTGTCCCAGATGGTAGAATAATTATGTGTGTAATACCGCGAAAAGATGTAAATTACTTGCTTTCAACTTAGTGCATTGAGAGTCATGTGTTATTTATTGTGAAGCCTGAAGATCTTAGGTTCGATTGGTAGCAGAATTGTGCTTTAGCATTGTTAAGACGTTTCATACTAAGATTAAACATATATTCAATACTCTCAGAAGTTCAATACTTTCACAGTAGAAATCGGACTACGACAAAGAATATGTTTATATTTAGTTGTTCATAGTAAAATGAATAATTCACATACTTATATAAACGATGTGGAAGTTTCTTCATCAAATGTCCATGAGCAAATTCTATCATCAAGTCTAAATTGGAAAAGTAGATAAATAAACATAGATGTAATCAAAAACCGGAAAACATACAGTGTAGTAAGCTTATGATAATACTAAGTTAATTTGATTGAAATTATAAAATGATTTTTATCCTATAAATTTCCATTATTAATAGTTTCATGTTTATCAATCAATGTATAATCATTCATCACGGATAAATAGTAATTTCAATATAAGGTAAGGTGAAAAGTCGAACTCTACGATTCATGATAAACCGATGTTTAGGTCCAAGGACTGGTTAAATCAGCTATATCAATAAAAGGTAGTATTTGTCACAGATTGATCTCATTTGAAGTAACATTGGGAACTAGTTATGATTAATAGATTACGTATATGCTGGGAGTGGAGCAATTTTCACCAAAGGCATTGAATGGCCGTTGTGGTAGAATGGAAATTCAAATCGTACTGTTGTGAACGAACACTCGAGGTAGGGACAACCAATTTATTGTTTAATACAAGATTACAGAATATCTTCATAAGATATGAGAACCATACATTATATACTTCATTTGCAAATATCCCATCAACTGTCCTTCATATTCTGTATGATTCGTCCACCTCACAATTCCTTTCTATTTCCCTTTCTGTTTTCTTCAACTTGATCATCTTAGCTTCCTGATGCCAGGCATTCCACTTTTGATTAGTGTTGCATACTACTGATGTCGATAGACATTAGTAGAATACAAGAACACGACCGGACGTTGATGTAGTAGTTCTAGAGCTTGAGCATTTGCCATCCGATTTGAAAATACTGGGTTAGATCCCCAGTGAAGTCGTGCGTACGCACGCGTAAAGAGTTCCATATCATGATGAAATAGTTGTTCAGTGATCTCTGGCTTTCAATTGTATCTCATTTCGGATTAATCTGTGACGAATGCAACTTACAAATTAAACCGGTCTTTACAAAAACCGCTTCAAATAAATCAGTTAAAGTCCAGAATATACATTAAAAGAAGTTCTGGTTATGAAACTATACACTACCAAAAAGTGGTACAAAAAGCAATGTTAGTTAAGTTTCACACATTCACGCTTCTTACTACAAATTACAGGATATCAATTATTAACTACGTGTAATGACACTGCATTAATGTGATTGCCTTAAATCGCCGTTTCCAACCAAATTCTAATAAGGCCATCATCAAAGTGGGACAATTCAACATTCGGACAAACTACTTAAGTCAATAAGGATACTACACAACCTTGTCAATTTTCGACTATCATATATAACTGACTAGACTATCATGACTAGTGAAAATAACTCTACATAAGAGAAACGACTCGAAAACACTACAATTCGTTATATCATAATGGGTTTTGTGAAGATTTTTAGAAATTTCACAGGTTGAAATCATGAGTCAATTGAAGCTAGACCACCATGGAAAACCTGGAAGCACTTCCAGCTGCTTTCACAGGTTGAAGTTTCTAAAAATCTCCACAAAACCCATTCTGATAATAATCAACTGCTCACTAGTGACTGATTTCAGGAGATAATCTTGGAGTTCTAGTGAGAAGCCGTTACCAGTGGAGTTCAACCAGGTCTGTTGTGAGATATCAGCTCACTGAAGACAATGGTGTACGGTGGCGCAACTTCGTGGATTGGCTGAAGTTAAACATTAACACCGTTGGATGTCGCTCAGTGGTCTAATGGTTAAGTGCTCGCGCGCGAAACCAGTAGGTCCTAGGTTCGAGTCCCGCGGGGCGCGGGGTTGTGGATGCGCACTGCTGAGGAGTCCGATACTAGGAGGAAACGGCCGTCCAGTGCTTCCAGGTTTTCTATGGTGGTCTAGCTTCAACTGACTCATGATTTCAACCATGTGGAATTCGTTATATCTTGATAAAATTTTGAAAATACGGAGAACAACTTAAAAGCTATGTAAAATTCAGTTTGATCGATATCAAAGAGTAGTATAAAATGATATTGAATTACGCAGAGGTTATTCAATCAAGATAAAACTCACTTTTATTTGTACGGTACAACAAGCGTAACAATGAATTCACTATGTCAATTCATGGGTTTTAAGGTAAACGTTAGTTTAGAGACCGGTTTTACCATTATTATGAGTCGTAGACAAGTAAATTACTTTCTTACCAAGTCTATATTTTCAGACAACGTTTTATGCTCCATTGCCTTAGCACCGGATGGAATATTATACAATTTTACACTCAGACAACCATAGTGACAACCCATCAAAAGTTAACAGTCAGTTAAAACAATCTCTTTGAAGTAATTAATACCTACAACATGAATTGACCTCAACCATAGAAGAGAGCATTTCAGTTAGTACAACTTTTAATTTAGCTAAAAGTACTAAAGATTATAAAATGACAAAACAATATGTCAAGAAAAAGAAGTAGAAAATACAAACCAACCTAAAATAACCATAGCAATCGGACGACTTGTAAATGCATTGTAGCTTTTCGGATCAGATTTACGTGAACGCTATTGAGAAATGAAAAAAAAAGAAATACACTCAAGACAGATTTGCAGAAAATAGACATGGACCTTATTTCGTGCTGGACTGCATGTAGGCTAGCTTAGCGGTAAATACCACAAACTGGAGTGTTACACATAAATTCTATGCCTTCTTGAAACCGATGTGTGGGATTATTGGTGTTCAACTATGTGCCGTTGATGAAAAGTGCAGCTAAATGTGTAAATTAATCCAAAGTGCATACTGCTTTGAACACTGACAACGCATAATGCGGTCACACCTGATCAATGTTCAGCCTGAAGTAAACTAGGTGCTTTAAGCTGTAATTTCGTGGTCTGGAAAGCTAAGACTAACTCAGAAATGATACGAAACAGGAAAATTCGATCATATAATTAACATAAAGGGTTGCGGTGTTAACTGATTGTATTTGACTTATTGTGTTTCCAATCCAGTACTCTGAATGTCAAAGTGAAGAAATCCAACGGCGTTGCAACTATGACCCCAGTCCTCTAAGCCTCATGACTCAACTCCCCGGTTGGTTAACCTGAAGTGAAATGGACACTTACAGGTATAATTGGGCTGCGAGCTATCACGCACAGGGTTATAGTTGAAGACCTCAAGGAAACCGATTCAACGGTACTAACTCCCCATCTGAACGCAGTTCTTGGACCAAGTACACTCCCAAATCTCATGACGCCCGGCGTAACGTTCATGCCAAAATATGTAACACCAAGAAACGCAGCGAACTATCATAGCGACCACAAATACCCGATTTCTTCATGATATCCTGGCAAAACACTGATTGCCACTTTTCCCAGCCCAGTGTAAACATGAACACTGAGATGCGAGCAAGTACACCAAGCTGATGAGTCCCACACAGGACAACGAAACGTGAGCCTTGGATTCTAATGTTAGTTACAAATCTTGTATTCTAATAAATTTTTACCACAGGGATAAATTGTAAATAAAAGCAATGCAATAAAACAACACATGAAAATGATATACAAGCTATTAACTCACAGATTTATGTATTCTAACTTTAAAACTGGTTTGCATATCATGCAATAAGGGACAAGCCAATTGATTCTATAGGAAATTACAAAACGACGAACGAAATTGGTTTATCACTCCCGTATTTATTAAATGTACGCATACAAACAATTTTCTACGAAAAATAAGTGATGTTGTGTAATTCTCTGGTTAAAATTTGAAAAATCACATTAACGCAGTTATATAATGGAAGGAATCAAAAAAATACTAAACCCAGATTTATTTGACATGTATCTAGACGACAGAGTAATCTCAACATGGTTCAAAGAGGAAATTGATTGGTGCAAAGAACTAGATGAAGATGGTATTAAGCAATACTCAATTACTGTTAATATCTTGTAGGGTGTAGAGTGTCGGTTGTGGATACAAAAAGTCTGTGGTAACGTCTCAAACTGTAAAACTGGGTGATCTAGATTCGAATTCACCAGCGAGGACCAGTTCCTTTCAGATTGTAGATATGCTTTATTGATGAGTGGCAACCAGCAAAAAACCTGGGTTCAAAATTTCCTGCCAACTACCACTGACCAAACTACATGTACTATGGTTATGATCTATTTATCAAAATCGAATTTATCCTAATATAAAAATTTTGTTCTGTTTTGTACTGAGAGGAAAAGAAAAGAAAAACAAATTTTTTTCACTTAATTAGTCAGATTATGAGATCATGAAGTTCTAACATTTACGATGTCTACTTTTGAACTGCTTCTTTAATCTTTCCTCACTTTTCATTTATTTCTTACTTCAACTTCAATACCTTGAAAACTGTCAGTAATCCCAAAGGTGTATATTCTGATCAACTTATGATCACATAATTGAAGAGAGATATCTAAGACATTATTTTAAGCAACTGACTAGTGATAATTATATTCAACTTTAGTTATTTATCATACATACAATGCATTCTTGATCTAATCCATTGGAAGAGCAAAATCTATGTAGACAAAAGTTTAAAGAGTAAAATAGAAAGATGTAACTAGATCTCCATTGTATGGAGTACAAAACTTGAAAAGCGATAAGAATCTTCATCCATGTTATGGTAAAATATTTCATAATCATAGCAATTATGTTTGAAATGGAGAATTCAACTAGCCTACATAATAGACAATCATGTAACTCAGTATGTTTTAAAACAATGTTACTAACAGCAGGTCATCATTATCAGCAGTGCTTTTCAGAATATCAACGTTGTTTTCTTTTTCTTGTGAGACAAGTATTATGAATGTTCTAGTAATGAATACTTATAGTTTAAAAACAAACAATGAAGAATAAATATAATGAATTCTGTACAGTTTAAAGGCTCAATATTACTACCCTAAACAATGTATACATTTATGTATTTTAATACAATTTTATAAAAGTGAGAAACAATGAAGTGATTAATGATGATTACGTTATGTGTAGATTCTTAAAGTTTACTCGGTGTTATGTAATAGATCACACATCAGTGTAGTGCTCACAGATTTAACTGATTTCTTACCTCGATTCAAACATAGCTTTACAACTACTTTAATTTTTTGATTGAGATCATGAACCGATTGGTGTTAGACCACCACAATTGAAAACCTGGAAGCACTGGACAGCCGCTTCATCCTATTGTGGGGCTCCTCAGCAGTACGCATCCACGATCCCGCTCGCGGGATTCGAACCCAGGGCCTTCGGTCTCGCGTGCGAACGCTTAACAAACTGGACCACTGAGCCGGCATCCAATGGTGATAGTTTCTAACATCAACCAATCCACGAAATTGCGCGACCAACTTTCGTTGTACTGAGGTAGATACCTGTCTCTACCCGACAAGGATTATCTCCACTGGTCACGGCTTCTCACTAGAACTCCGAGAATTCCCTCACGAAGCTAGTCGCTAGTGAGCACATGATGATTACTAGTATAGGGGTTGTGAAGATTATTAAGTTTTTGATTGAGATCATGTTAAGAAGTAAGCGACTGGAGCTGTCACTTTAAATTAATAGGCATGTTAGTCTATAGTGATGACTCAAACAAGGTAAATTAGCTAGAGTACATGGTTATTAGATTCATACGAAAGTAGGTAAGTTTATTGGAGAACAATAAGATCAAAGTAAATCCCAAAGATCAATATATTGAATGTACTGCCGTGTAATGGAAAATCATCACTCCGAGAGGCGTTACTTTTTCACAGACAAAAAGAATGGGTTACTAAATATCGTCCTTGATAATGATATTCTCAACATGCCTCATGATTTTCCAGTATTTGTGATATGGTTTAATAAATACAGGGTTAATTCAACATAGGGTGACTAGCATGAAAGATTCACTCATTAGGGTCATACATTCTGATATTAAATCGAGAAAACAATAAGTACTAAACCATATTGTTTTCCAAGTTTCTCAGTTAGAAATATCATTTCAGAATATGTGGGACAAGAAATGTTAGTTACATAAACACACCTTCAACAGCTATCGAGTCCCACTGTGTTTTCCAACAAACGATTTCCTTGTCTTCTGACCTAGTTCATAGCTCAAATCAGTTGATCATAGTCAGTGTAGAGCCTAGTACACATGTGCATCATCCTAAGTAGCAATATTATTTCACCACAGTGTAATTATATTAATAAAACAAATATAAAGTTAGTTGCGATAATTAGTCACAGCAAAACTAAACACAGAATATGGGAGAATGAGATAAGTGGATAAAAAGTATAAAAAAGACAATATTCAAACTTGAGATTTATACGAAAATAAGAGTGCATGTATCTGCATAACTATGACCGATTCGCAACCACAATAACTCCAATCATCGGTCTTAACAATTACGTGGATCTTGACTACACAAACAAAGGTCAGACCAATAATCAATGACTTGGCGACTAATGGAGCGCCTTGGTTTGTCTACACTCCTAAATATTTTCCAATCCATTCCTACACCATCCAGTATCGATGAAAGTTAAAATAATTTATAAAAATCACTTGTAAGATCAACAATAAAAGAACTAATAAATTCAGGTTACTCAGTCATACCTGAGTTATACAGCAAAGAATAATTAAGCAAAGATGACAACTGTTTAGTGATTCCGGAGCTAAAAAAAGACAAAAGAATTTAAAAATTCAACATCCAATGATAAGAAAATAATAACAAAGAAGAAAACACGACTGAAAAAAGAATGCTCATGAACACGTTATTCTTTATTAAAATAACCAGACAATAAAAACAGTAATTTGAAAGTCATGTTTCAAGCTCTTAAAGTCTTGAGAAAGCTTTCCGACCTTCTCCTAAAAGCTAGGCGCTCTGATGTAGGAATAGTGGCTGGTGACTTTAATGCTCAGGTAGGTCAACTAAGAGAAAGGGAAAGACATCTAGGTGGATCTTATAGCATCGTGGCTCAAAGAACAGATAATGGCGACCGTCTGATGCAACTATGCTCAGATAACCGCCTGTTTCTTGCAAATACTATCTTTAAGCATAAAAAAACATCTTTTAACATGGTGACCCCCTAATTCGTCCCAACGTTGGACCCAAATAGGTCACATCGCTATCAGCCACCGACGGAGGGGCTCGAAAGAAAACTGTCGCTCATTCTGGAGCACATGTTTAGATTCACATCATGCTCTAGTGCGAGCGCGTATTTGTCTGCGTCTTACTGGATGTAACAAAGACGCTGCAAGGAAACCTGTTAGGGTCCTATTTAATGATAGTCAAGCTAAGAGTATATTTCAGGAACAACTAGGAAAACAGTTAGGCAGCCATGTAGGTGATGCCCACCCCGAGGCAACATGGAATGATATCCGAAAAGCTGTGGAAACAGCAGTGATATCTGCTAGTACAGTAAACCGTACGGTTAGGGAGCAACACTGGATCTCAGAAGCATCTACCGCACTGATAGATGCTCGAAAACTCATTCAATCTGGATCTAAACATAACGAAGAGCGGAGTCAGCTTAAGCGCAAGCTGACAAGAAGCCTACGCAATGATCGTCAACAGTGATGGGTAGCGAAAGCAAGAGAGCAAAAATGAAGATTGGTGCAGAATAATATGAACTCATTTTAGTTCGCTGGGTTCTCATCAACTACTTACAACCTATAATATTTAAAGTCAAAGTTATCACAGGTATTGACATACTTATTATAACTACGAAGGTGATTAGACATGAATCACATGTATCTGCCAAAGCAGTTACATTGATAGAACAGAAAGGAGAGCCTACATCCGACTCAAAAAACATATTCCAAAAGTCGAAAGGTCAATTCGATTAAAAGCATCCAGCAGTGCCATCTCGAGACATCTCCTTGATACTGGACATCAAGTCGACACACTGAGGTCTTTTAAAATGATTAATAAACAATCAAACTCCAATCTTCCACAATTCGCCAAAGCGATAGCGATCAAACGTCTAAAACCAGATCTATGTGTTCAAAAAGAACCACTCATAAATCTTTCTTTGCCCTGATAACATTATATCCTTTTCATCGCATCACTTATTATTTAAACTCTTTTCCATCTTTTGATTATATCATTGTCACTTTTCGTCAATTCATAATTGACTGATTCCAACTTATATCTTTCTTTATTATCATTAATCTGTTTTCGGTTACTTTATTACACAATCATCTAATGTTTGTTAACTCTACGAGTTCTAATCACTATTTCAATGTTTTGGAACTCTCCCTTCCAAACTTTATTTATTTATCTATAACAAAATTTTTATGGTCTTATTAACTCTATTGAAATCTTAGTTACATCATGACACACACATTCTCATCACTAATCGCTGTCGCATTTATAAGTATGTCAATATCTATAATAACTGATTTTCAAATATTACTGGTTGGAAGCAGCTGATGAGAATCTAACGAAATAAAATGAATTCATATTGTTTTTCATCAAACTTCGTTCTTGCTCTACTTATATTCTTCAGCTTGCAAATAATTTATATTGAAATTCTCTAATGTCGTTTCAAATATGGAAGAAACACTAAATCATAACATTTTATTGACAGATGAGGAGATAAGCGATAAAAAAACGAATGTTAAAAATATTTCACACCTCACCAATTTTCTATATGCGCATATCACAGATTAGAAATCTGTTCTGCTGTTACGTTATTATTTTTTACCTTCTCACTAGCAATCCCGCTTTTATCTTTGTTAGTTATTGATACTGTACTCGATAATATTTATTATTTATTTATTATAACACATAGATATTGGTACAAGGAGGCACTAAATACATATGCGCCACACAAATCTCATTCGATATGTGTGAGGGCTGTGATACTGACCAGGTGCCCAAACCAAAGCAGGTGGTTTTCTTAGGGGGCCACTCCCCGAGCCTTCGACCTGAAGGTCTGACCCACAAGGCAGTGGAGCATCGTAAGGAGATGCAGTCCCATGGTAGCCGGTGACCAACAATTGGTTCATACGCCATTTTTCCCGCAGGATACTAGAGCCCGTGTGCACCATTGGTTTGGGATCCGGTTAAAGCGCCGGACATTCGCTTTTTGTCCTCTCATTTTCGTAAACAACACCCCCACCACGAGAAGGCAGTGAGTAGGACTTCCCTGGCAGAGGCTATATACGCGTGGCCATGTGGGAACTCTAGAATGCAGGTAATTGCAGCTGACGGGTCACAAATAGGACTGAACGAGCGTCTTGGATTTCATTGATAGCCACTATTTAGCTCTGCTTAAAATGCTTGTGACTTAGTGGGAATATTGAACCAATCCGTACAGGATGCATATATGTCAAAAGAGACAACAATTGCAGTCCTAAACAACAGTGGGAGGATTCAAACAACCAACATGCATGAAATCATATTTGTATTCCTGATTTATTCTATTCTTAACCATTCTAGTCATTTTGTAATTCCGCCAGTAAGTAAGCAGCCATTTTGTGTAGATCACTTGAAAAGTATCAGGATTTAATCGCTGCGGGTTGGATGTGAAGAGCGCTTGATTTCGTTATTTTGTTGCTTCCCCGGAATTCGTTGAATTCCTCTTCTGAATTCGGTGGATTTTACAGTAGGAATGAATGAGGTTTATTATTATTTACTATACTTGTTTCTATAACAATTCAGTTGGAATGAATCCTTGTTAAAATGAATATGTATAACGAAAACCTTAGACATTTCTAGCACAGCATTTCCATTTCTCCATGGTATAGCCAAATGTATTCAAAGAAATGAAGTGATCAGTTTCATTTTTGTGTACCCTTTCGGTGTTGATCGAATACTATCGAACACGTTAAAACGTAGCCACTGGTCTGAACGACTCAAATCCGTTTGCTCTATGTCCTAAAAGCTAAGTGGTAATTTCATAAACTCCAAAGCAGGGTGACATGAGTTCGAATTCCTCAAAGATCACCAGTTCACTCAAGACTGAGAGAAAGCCATCCACTAACAAGTGCCAAACTAGTATGAAACCTAGGTCGAAAAAAGATAAATACTATCATTAGTATAAGTACTCACTTTTAACATCTTGCATTACAACAGAACAATATTCTAATAAATCAGCCAATAAATTTCTCGGTTCCATAGATGGTGCATACAGTGAATCTATGTCCAAATTGAGGTTATTATTATTATTACTATTAAACTGTCCATTACTAAATGATGATATTGTATTCAATCGATTACTATTGACACTTTTAGTTGAATGATTTAAAGATGATAAACTTTGTGGGCTGGAAGATCTACTGTTAATACTACTACCATTATTATTATTGGTAGTATTGATAGTGGTACTAGTTGTAATAGCGGATACAGGAACAGCTTTACCCGGTGAAACTAAATTTGGATCCAAATAACCAACCATAGATTCAGTACTAATAGCTTTTAAAATTCTATAATCTGTAAAATGAAAAAAACGAACATATAAAACATTGTAAATAATGAACATGAGCTAAATTGAGTTGTTTGTGAGAAATCAAATTTTACTGTTTAAAAAAAAGAAGAGATTTCATCAAATCACAATAACATCACTGGCGGCCATACCAAAACATGTCACAAGTCCATGAAATCACTGACAAGTGGACTAACCGATGGTTAGAGACCTTGAATGACATGGTTCGAAATCGTTTGCAATGGTGCAGGTGAATCAATTCTTTGTGTTCTCCCAAATTCTAATCTTTTGAATTCTCCTCTTTTTTTCTCTTTCCAAACTTATTTCACTGCATTATACTCCTTGAATAACATCTTCAAACCCTAATCTTTCCAATTACTGTTTATACTCTTACTACCTCTACCACTACGGGATTTGAATCGACAACTGCATCTCTAGGCTAATATGGTATGGCAACTGGAACTGATGTACGTACATAAGAAGTTCTACGTTATTACTGACTGACTGATTAAATATTTTACTGAGACATTAGAAATACATGTTGAGCAAAGAATTACTTTAAATTAGTACTTCATTATGAATCTTTACATTAACATTCAGAATTTAGATTTTACAATTAAGTATAGTAAAATCAATACAGATTAGTAAGGAATTAATTGACCAATGTATTTTAGCAGTTTCGTTAAAGAGTAAAATAATTTAATTACTAATTAAATCAACGGATATTAAAATGAAAATTAAATCAAAATTACATCTTTTTACGTAACTAGTGAAAAGAGTTAATCGATTGAGCAATAGAGTATTTAGTTTTAATTTTGAATCCATTAATTACTATATTTTGGTAGAAAATATTGAGATATTCTATTCAAGTGATTAACTATCATTAAAGTTCATCTTCTAAGGTAATTGGAAAGTTGACAAAAGGAGTTTGTTTTCGTCTTCTTAGCATTTTTGAAGCATTTGATAGGCATTAGGAAAAACCAGAATTATGAGTACAAAAAAGAACTTGTACAACTTCTCCTTCTACCATGGTCTTAATCTCTCGTAAGCTTCTTTTCTTTTCTCGTTTCACAAAAATTCCTTTCATCTTCTTTTCTAAAAACCTTTGAACCTCAAACTGATTTGCTTCTGTTTTTTCTATGATCCTCCTGGCTACAATTCATCTAATGTTCAACATTTAATCGTGCCACTCTAAGTCTTCTTTTTCCAATTATAATTTCTTTATCCGTCTTCATGATGAATATTCAAGCTCTTAATTATAAAATTATTTGTTTCCTTATTAAAAATAACGTTTACAAACCTTTGTTCATTCTACTTCGCAATTACCATGTTTAGCAAAAACGTTTTATCATCACTTGCGATTGGACAGCTTTGAAAATGAATTCGTCGCGAAGAGAATTCTTATTTTCATTGTGAATCTACATACGGTTATGTAGTACTATGATGGGAAACTAATTAAAATAAAGAATTTCTTCAGTCAATTTGAATATCTAAATATAGATATCCGGCCATAACTGATCAATCAAATGATGATGCTTTAATTGGAAATGGAGGATCTAAGTATTTCGCTGGCATGTTTAGTGTGAAAGTACTGATTGGTTTCATTCCAACTAATTAGTCCTATTGAATGATCTTAAGTGTTAGACGTTTTCCCTACGCGTTTCACATGAACGTATTTAATGAGATTGTGAAGATATTTCACATGGTAGGCTAACTATCTAGACGACTAATGAGAACCAGGCAATACTGAACTATTGCATATAGACATCGACTTATATCTTGACGTTATTGTTTTGTGCTGTGTTCTTTTCGAATGTTCTTTCATTGTCATTTATGTTTTGCATTTTGGTTTCTTTTTGTTTACCTCTTTTTACTTATAATACATGAAAAACACAAACCAAACCAACAGACTACTACTATTTGACCAGACTAAATATTGTTTTTCTTTTAGTTAAAAGATATTGAAGTGATTAAAAGCAGGATAAGAACAAATGTATTTGAGATAAGTGAGATCCTAATACAGAGGTTTAGATCCGATTTTTATGGATTAAACATATCAAAATAAAATATATCTTTGGACTAGTATTTATTGCATACAGGAAACATTCAGAGATAATAATAACAATAATAATAAGAAGAAGAATGGTAATAATAATGTGACGCTTTTACAAAATAAAGAATTCTGTACTCGTCTTTGGGTCACACGTTTTGTAGTAAGATTTAGTAAAACCTGCAAGATCTTGAAACAGAATAATCTGAAGCAAGGTTAGAATTTAAAAGAATTATAAAACTGAATATACATTATGATTGATGAGGTAAAAAGATGCATGCCCTTATTGGCTTCGCTGAAATTCCTCATTTCATTATTTATTATTCATCTCAAACTTTGTGTTCTTTTTATTCTGAAAAGAATGGGGGGTTGTGTAGATTGTAGTAAATTTAACAGCTGAATTCACGGAGTAATCAATGTTAGACCAATATTGAAAACATGGAGAAACTGGACGTCTGTTTCGTCCCCGCACGAAATTCCTCAGCACTGTATATTTACGATCTCGCACACGAACGCCTAACCTTTAGACCACTAATCCGGCATCCAGTGGTGTTAATGTCTAACTTCAATCGATTCATGACTTGTGCAGCCAGTCATCCATTGTTTGGGGCGGATACCTGTCGTTACCCGACACAGGTTGGACTCCAACTCACAAGAACTACAGAAAATCCATCTTGAAGTCAGTCACTAAAACGTACATGATTATTATCAGAATGGGGGTTTGGTCGAATTTTTCAGCAGATAACTGACAATTTCTTTCTATTTCAAAAACACAAAAATTACTGAGTATCTCGCTGATATCTTTTTAACTGAAAACTTTTATGACGGCTTAGTGGTTAAGACGTTTTGCTTTTAGCCACTAAGTTCTTGATTCGAACTCCACTTTAGCTACTTTGGTTTGGTCAACTAGTTAGTATCTATCATTCATCCTCATACTTAGATAGTCACTTATACCCAAGTATATATATAAACTATTTGTACAGCCCCTTCCAAAACAAAACAGCTAGGCATACAGTATTCAGGTTTAATCAACTGAATAGTGCTACATTTCCACTATACAATTAAGCACTATAACAATTAAGATAATAACTAGTCTAACCACCTAAAATTGCTACAAACACACAATTTCATTTCATTAAATTAAATACCATCCAATTAACAATAATTTGAATATTATGTCAACAATCAATAAACATTTTCCAGAAAGCATTCAATATGTTGTATCTTTTTAAATAGGTTGTTATTTAAGAAATTTGAATGTTACTGTTCCTCAGGTGAGCTTTTACAACCATGGTAACGTAATATACATGTTATGCAAAAGAAAAATAAAGGTTTATCTGTAGTTTACAATAGAATGTGGAAATGATTGAAAAATTGTAACGAGGACAAAAGCAAGAACAGAATAAACGAAATACAATGATGTATAGAGAAAGTTATACAGAGTACATACAATTAATTTCTATGTATTTTAAATCACTCTAATACTCAATGAATATAATTATTGTAACAATAAACTTAAAAGTAATTTTGTATTTAAACTGATACGATAGAATATTGAAGATGAAAAAAATATTGAGCGAGATTTGTTGTGTATTTTTGGATAGTAATGCTATGTTTGAAGAGATTACCATATCTGTGAACGGAACGAAGACCCAACGACACAATGACCATATAACCTTACTATTCCGATGCGTCCCAGCCCTGCTAACTAGATGGGGAAGTTCAGATCAGAAGAAAAATATATTCCACAAGCAGCCAGAAACACAAATAACAAAAACAAGCACAACTCAGGGGTATATATACAGCACGAAAGTGTTCTTGGGAAACGACACAAAAGAGCATACTAAAAGAGACAACGAACCAATGATATTTAAGGTCTTGCAAGGTGGGGAATACGATACGAAAGTGAAAATGGGCGCTTTGGCGCGAAAACAAGAAATCCGAATCCCCAAAATAAAATTGCAAAAATGAGACATTTACCAGGTGAGTTCTAGGGATCTAGCATTCCCAACAAACAACTAGTGGTAGAATCTAGAATACAAGTTTCGTCCTAATTGAGACTCATTAGCTGAGTGCACTTGCAATGTAGTATGGTGGTTCTTGTGACTCGGTAGTTTAGTTGACAACGTTTTGGCATTTGAAGTGATAGGCAATAAGTTTGGTTTACGGTGTAAACATTAAGATTTATGTGCAGGTGAATCTAGCTGACGAATCGTAAATAGGACAAAATATGCATTATAGACGTCTACTATTGGTCACTACATAGGAATATAAATCACTTGTACCAAAAGATAATATACAGGCATCTACTCAATACTGATAAAATTCCACCCTGAATATCAATAACAGGTAAACACAAATCCATATTTTTCAGAAAAACCAAAATATACGGTAATCAATATCTCGCTTTATATAAGTTAATTATATAACAACTACAAAAGTATGTTAACATGTTGTGTCTAACAGTCAATTACTATGTATTATAGATTCATTTGTTTAATAAAGTATTATAAATGTATGGAGTAGTGGTTTAGTAGCTCAATTATTCAAATTCCAATGAACAAATCTTAAATTTAATGCAACTCCAACTCCCATTGTTTGATAAGCTGGATAGTATCACAAGTTTTCACACAATGTAGCTTAAAGTAGCGTGTATAAATTTGTATGGGATAAATGAGTTACATTATTAATATTTTGAAAATATAAGCATCGCAAAACGAAATCCCTTAGCGACAAGACATCCGAGGAAGAAAGCCTCCTTATGGGAATCGCAGCAGCAAACAGTATAGAGGTTTCCGGAAATACCATGATACGCATTAGAAACGATAAGTAGTTGATATAATTATGAGTAACTGTAACTTATTATGGTCTCTAAATAATCCAGGCAACAAATATAACTGCCCACTACTAGAATCTTGTGCCTTACTAACCTATATCAATTCTAAAAGTTAACACCTGACTCACGACTGCGAAGAATTACTACTTACCCAAAAATACAATTGTTTATAAATATTTCTAACCAGCTTTGAAATATAATTGGAAAAAGTTACAAATTTCACGTAGCTTGATCCAATTATAGGTAATAAACTAATCAACATGATTATTCAAATCATATAATAGTATGAATGAACTCTAGGGTTCATAAACCCCTACCTTATTGTTAATCAATAGAGTTAAATGTTGATTTCTCAACCAAACTACATCCTACAAATAATACTTCCGTTTAATGATGTGCAATGAATTTCCTGTAAGATTCAGTTATTATTATATCATCGGTTAAAAAAAGAAATGTATTAAGTAGGAGAAAAAATACAACGAAAGAGATATGCACACATACACACATACTAAATATTCACTGTCCACTTACCTAATATAGGATCTGGGACAATTATACTTTCTAAATCTCTTGAATTATTTGTATAGTGACCATTGGAATAAGAGAGAAGTATAGCGAAATGATGACTACTTCTAGCTAATTCATATAGACATAGCAAAAGTGAATCACATGGTCTGAAATGAGATGAAAACAAAAAAGTCAAGTTAAATGGATAAAAAACTGATATAAATCAATGAATTCATGAAAGATATTTTTTAAGATGATTGAGTAGTAGTAGTAGAGATTTTCTCGACAAGAGGTTAGATCCCTAATCGTTAACTGACATTACACTAGAGAACTATAGGGAATTATCGTACACTACACTATGCAACCATCCACTTTGTATTGCTCTATGGTTATGAAAAATACACTATGAAGGTGAAAGACTTAACTCATACAGAATCGAACCAATGAGTGAATAAGTAAGGTGGTGTATGGAGATAGGAAGCTGATCGATGATGCTATAGAAAACTCAATTGATTGTGATGATTAGGATGAGCTGTAACAGGTGAGATTTATCTACGTCGAGATTGAGACATAAATAGTGCTAAAGAGCGACCAGCAGAACATTGCAAACTGATTAAAAAAGTAGAGAGTGTGAATTACCGGATGCATATCGTTAAGACGAGACGGCTGTTTGAATGCTTCTTGGTCTTAATTGGTTGTGTTTAGTTACAGCCAGTATTTGATATAAATAATAAAATTACTTGAACTGTAACAGACGAAAACTCAGGTGGGAACAACTAATGTATCACAATACAGAATCTCTTGGTAAAATATGGGAACTGTACATTAAATAGCTCATTTGGAAATTTCCATAATTTATCTATCACATTTTGTATGATTCTTCCAGGTCACAATTCCTTACTATTTCCGTTTCTGTTTCCTCTTCAACTTGACCTTCTTAGCCTTATGCTGCCAGGCTTTCTACTTTCGATTGGTGCTACATTCTACTTATATCTGCTGACATAAGTAGCACACATCACAGAGCTAGCTGAAGTGTGATTTTTCATTCAGTATTCATGACGATGAAAATGAGGTTGTTTCATCATTTAATCTCATGTATATACGAGATGCTTCTTACGTAACTCCTATAAAAATGTTAGGGATTTCGGATTTTCACTGATAGTCTAGCAGCTGACTATGAATGTAAATTTAGTTCAGATTGTTTTCAAAAACATAATAATACGATGATAATCATAATGAATTTGTTCTATTGTCGACTGGTTTATAACTGCTAGTTACTTTGCATCAAAATATTTACAAAAAGAGGGAAAACAGTACACACTATTTATCAGTCGACAAGACTTTAATGCAAATACCAGAATGGTGGTGATTAAAAAATGAAATTCAAGTGTTTTACATCAAGAATAGTAATGAATGAATAGATGAAAGTATAGCACAATATTTGTAGCTGATGATCAATATTACAGATACCTGATTAACTAATGCAAAAATTTATTTACCATGTGATGGGGGATAGGGCTATTCGATTAAATAAGTTTTACTGAATTAGGTTGAGACGCATGAAGAAAAAATTCAACAGTCATGAAAGTACTTTTAAAGTCAAAGGATAAATTTAACAATCTACGTACAAATATCAACAGGACACATAAACTATATATATATATATATATATATATATATATATATATATATATATATATATATATATATATATATATATACTACGTTTCCACTTGTTCGGCACGAGCTAAAGATAACTAACAAAACAATGTATATAGTCTAGGCGATTTAAACTTACACCAGAATAGTCAAGCGATGAATATTTAGAATTAAATGCCAAACCTTAAATTTCTGAAATAACAACGAAAAGGATCTTTGAAAAATGCCTAAATTTAATAATAACGACTGATATGCCCTTTGTTAATAGAATAAGAGAAGAAAAACTTTCTAAGAGGAAGGAGATGGCTGTATAGATGGATGTTGGGACGTTTCATGTTGCTAAAATCACATGCCACAAGGCCAATGGTAAGTGAAAAGTATAAAGATATGTCACTGGAGTAAGTTACCACCTGGATATCATTGTCTAGACCAGTTTACTTACCTTAAACTAATAATCGATGCAACATCACCGGAGACCAAAGTAGTGAACTGAATTAATAGTATGGAGAGAAAAATATATAGATACATGTATAAAACAAGATCAAATAAATATTTGAAGACGATTTTCATCATTATAAAAACTGACAATATGTAAGTAGGTAGGTACAGACTACCTGGTTGTGATTATTGTAACCAATGGTTACAGGCTTTGGGTGACATGATTTAAAGTCGTTCCTAATGGCGTAGGTTCAGTCGTTCAATTTTTCCCTCTAGATCTTAAGTACGTACGTACGAAGTTCTAGTTTGTTACTGACTGACTGACCTCATAAATATTTTTTCTGTTCCAGTAATCCATAAATATTTTCAAATCGCATCTCCGACGCTTAATCTTTTCTAAAGCCACTATCACTGTTATTAATTGTGATATCTTGGCAATTTCTTCTCTATGCGCTAATGCAGTTTGGTTTGTTAAACCGATGTCCCATGCAATGTTCTACGTTGATTATGAGTGACTGATACATCAACTGCATTGAATATAAAATCTCCCACATATTTTTAGAGAAACGAAAAAAATAAGTGCCAATGTAAAGATTAAATATGTATTATTTCTCAAAAATTCAACTTAAACCGGCCAAAGAATGGATTTGGGGCAAGGGGGATTATTTTACGATGTTTTCACTACTGCGTTATCCTCTCGTACTAGACAGTTTGTTCAGGCAATAATCTGTTAAGTGTAGCCTAGATAAATGGAGTATTCTCTTAATACAGCACGATGAACCAAGAAAATCATGTGAAGTGTACTGGAATAAAATTTGTGCACACACAAAAATACAGCAGAAAGAATGAAATAATGACTTACAAAAGATGAAAAAGAAGATAGAATACCACCAGAATTGTCACGTTGTTGTCCAAATTTTCTACATTGTAATATGAAAAAATTATAAATAACTAGTGTTCAAAACATGTTAAAGAAAATCAAAGTACAGCCCGAATAAAACCGAAAAGATTTTAATAAACTTTTCTGTCTATCAATTTCATAGTCAATGGTATTTATAACAACTGTGTTTTAGAAAACCGAAGATGTAAAGATACTTAAAAAGGGTGATAGAACAGAAACAGAGAGGAATAAATAAAGGTCTAACATGAAGACAATTAACTGGTAAGAAAGAGTTAAATAGGTTGGTCTCCCTAAGATTTAGGCCAACCTGAAAAAACTTGATTATAAGACTTCAACCTCTTTTATTAATTAGAAAATTGGAATTCAGTCCAAGTCAAGAAAAAAAAATGTCTTGTGGAAGTCAATGGGATCAATGATCAAATACACAGGTAACATGATGAATTTAATTTAAACTAACTCATTTATCAGGTATGAATGATTAATGATATTACTGGATTGCATAAACAAAAATAGGTGGAGCGGGTCTCAAACTTGGGATTCAGCGACCAGAAATTGTACGTTAGGCTGCAGTTGTGCAAACAAAATATACACTATTAATGTCTATATTGTTATTAATAATTCTAAATCCTTTGGTAACATGATTTGAACTTAATAGAAGTGAGTGATACAGTTTATAATAATTTTTGTTTGTTAAGATTTATCTTTATTTTTTCTAATTTCACTAGTGTTTTACTTCATTTTCCCTTGTTGATCTTAAATGAGGTAATGACGATTAAAATCAAAACGTAATTTTATTTGTTCATTTACTCCTAACTAATCCATTGAATTAAAAGTACTTTTATCTGGAAGAAAAGTTGGTTAGTCAGTCAGTAGGTTACAGGTCTGAAGCTCGAACCCAACTATTTTGGTTTAAGGTGATAGATAGTATCACTAGCCTTCACCTAAGCAATTTGCCAAATGAGTTACATAAATTCTGTTTACAACTTATCTTTATGGTAATGGCCTTTCTTAGAATAGATGGGTGTGGCGCATATATATTTGGCGCACTCTTGTACCAATATTTATGTGTTCAAATAAATAAATAAATAATAAATAAAGAATAGATGAACTGAGACTACTAATGATGTCCAGGATGCGCGGTATTGTTTTATTTCGGATAAGTCAGTCGGATGCACCTGTATCTGTGTTGAAGTTTACATTAAGAGTCGGACTCAGTACCCTGCCCTTCAATTGGCTAAGTGATATCTGCTGAGCTACTGAGTCTAGATAGGCACTAGTTTGTTCAACGGACCGGTTAGTTGTATGGGCTGTCCGCTTCTTTAATTATACCTTCTTTCAACATCTGGACTTGTCAATTTAACTCAGCCTCCAAATGCACGGGAACACAACACCTTGTAAATATGGTCACTTGATCATCTTTAATTAGGATTTCATGCCTTACTTTGTCACGATCCAGAATTCACGGCCCAGAATAGAGAACAAGAGTAAAGACCAGATAGTGCTTAATTCCACACAATTACAAGTAGCCACTCCCAGTGAGTCCGAATATAAATCAATGTGAGGAAAGAGAATCATATATTTAGTAGTCCGAAGGCTGAGTGTCTGTTTTTCCACGCTCAACGATTAATTGTATATGAATTTCACGATCACATATTAATAATATAATATTAAACAATTAATAAATCATTTTTACCATATGCTAGTCAACATCTACAAAAACAAAGTTATTCAACAGTAATATTTACATGTTAAACTCACAAGTTAAATTCAGACAATGCAAGAGCGACAGTAGACAGTATACTCTGAAGGTAGGATAATGAAGAAAATTTAGTATTATTATCATGAAAAGATCGTTGTTTTTGATTAACTGGGTTGATCAGATGTAGGCAAAATGAAAAGTGAGATGTCAACGGTTGGACACAATATTTCCCTTGACTTTCTAAGAAGACAAGAATACACTATTGGTTGAAAACGCGGCTTAATTATTCGTGCATGTATTTTCGATTCGGTTAGTCAATCATAAAGTTTCCTGCTCACTTTTAGTTTTCTCATTCATGTGGCTAGTTTGAATGGTTATAGGATGTTTGAATATCAGTAGCAAAATTGGATGTCCGTACAACATAACAATTGCACGTCGAATGTACATCTCCAATTCAACGAGGAATTTTACAGATAATCGAATGAGACCCCAGTTGGATCTCCACTAGGTTTACATTTCGCTTACTACTTTTTGGCAATACTAAAGAATGACCTACTTAGACACGAGATAATCAGAACAGATGTAACCAATGAAGAAGAGTTACGTACTATCCGTACGTTGCTCAACAAGAAGATGCATTAAAATTTACCAACAAACATATGACCCGGAAAATAAGACAAAACCAGGTTGCATTCCTGCAACTAACACTTAAATGAAACAATCAGTGAAATAACAACGGACAAAAAAAATTCTGTGGACAACATTCACTGTAGCTAAACTATAAACACTATTCTACAACCGACCAGTCGTTCGAACCGGAAAGACAGAATACCTTAATTCATCTCAATCATGTGGACTTACCGATCTAACCCTTGTGGATTCAGCTACATTCGGTACACAGTAAGTTAGTCCGTCATCTAATATCCAACTATTGATCTATCTTGTCAAGCAAGAGACGATTAAAATCAATCAAAAGCTCTATAATGGTCCACCTAATTGATACGAGACACAAATTGGATATCAACAATTCAATTCAAATCATCCACTTGATCTCATTGAACATGTCATCTAGTCTGTGTATACCGTTTACAAGTAATTTGTAGTAAATTGTTACTTACATTTAACAACAGTTCATCTTCTGTCTGCTGAATTAATGTTTGAAATAAATTCAATGACTATAGAGAAAATAGAAAAAAATTCATAAAATATCAAATGAAACAGTAGGTTGAGATATGTTAGGTAAAAAAACAAGTCGAATTAAGTGTATAGACACACTATCTCTAAACCGTTGAAAACATTGAATTATTTATTGGTTACGATGTTGGGTGGTTAAAAAGTGTGACATTGGGTGACACAATTTCCAATTTTACAAAATAGTGCATTATTATGATTACTACTTCGACTACTTAGATGCTCATCTTGATAACTTCATCTAAATGTGCTAGTGTAGCATGGCATGTTCGGCTAATATATATTTGTACCTGGCTCTATGTTGGCTATGATTGAATGATTTATTATGATGATATCATTATTACGTAAAATGAAAGTCACTGTAATTCATTTATACTGAACAGAGATATTTTCGACAAAATGTAACATAGCTTGATAGAAAATTCGTTAAAAAGAGATCCTTTCGCTGAACTTCGTGTTTTTAAAATGTAACTTGGTTTGTTTTTTTTAGATAAAAAGTGTTAAATAACATTTTATTTATTTGAGCACATAGATATTGTTACAAGGGGGAAACCAGATACATATGCACCACACAAATCTCATTTGATTTGTGTGAGGGCTGTGATACTGACCAGGTGCCCAAACCGAAACAGATGGTCTTCTGAAGGGGCCACATCCCGAGCCTTTGACCTAAAGGTCTGGTCCACAAGGCAGTGAAGCAACGTAAGGAGATGCAGTCTCATGGTAGCCGGTGACCAATAATTGATTCATACGCAATTTGTCCCCTCAGGATACTGGAGCCCGTGTGCACCATTGGTTTAAAATCAGGGTTTTCCAACTCCCCTAGGTGGACTCTCCATGTCCACCAACCCAGTTGAAGCGCCGGACATTCGCTTTCCGTCCTCTCAACTTTGTAACCAACACCCCCGCCACGAGAAGGCAGTGAGTAGGACTTCCCTGGCAGAGGCTATATACGCGTGGCCGTGTGGGAGCATTTCGAGAGGGAGAGCGGACTCTCCCACTCTCGGCTGTACCTGGGTATTTGGGGACGTTAATTAACAGTTTGGTCAGTTAAATGAAGATATAGAACATTCTTAAGGTTATCTATTATCATGATGAATAGCAACGTACAAAAATGATATTTTTCATGTGTTCATATGATAATATTCGTATTTTGTTCATATTTACTTATGTTCATTGATAGATGGACGTTGAATATCCAGTTAAATTGAAATACAACAAAGTATTTGATGGCAGAACGCAGATTATATTAAAGTACGTTCCTTAGAGGATTGTGTTGGAACACGCTGATTAACCATTTCTTAGCTAATAAGTGCTAGTGCATAATTGGAGGAGACTTTAAAATCACAAGTAAAATTTTAGATAATACTAACGTTTTTTATTACTGTGATTGTTATTTTCATTCAACTTAATTTATTTGGAACAGAATTTCATTCCTGTTCGACCGTGTTCTGATTTGGGGACTAATCGAATGAAGTAGTGTCCGAAGAATACTAAGCAATAAGAGTAGCTGAGTCATATAAAGGCAGATCATGACAGTATTCAGGTCGGATAAGCAGATAATAACACACAATTATTTATTGTAATAAGAAATCGGAACGAAGATTCTTTATAAACTCCACACAGTTTCATTAAACAGATTGATAATTAGGGGAGATTCAATAAGCATAAACAGTGGATTATCTGGATAAGAAATAACTTCATGAAATTATATTCGCCTAAGAATATTAAATTTGAGACAATAGGGTTTAAAAGCTTACAACCAATAAGTTGAATTTTTCGCTAGCTAATATATATTGAAATCCCTATCCAAGTGTTCGACGAATACTCAAATAGCGAAATACAAATAAGCAAACGGTTGCAGGATCATTTTGTCGATTTAATTATATCATAACTGATATATAGACTGAAGAAGAACTAAGTCTGAGATTAATACGCTGTTCTACCATATGCAGCAACCTATATCTAAGCTATTGAATAAATAAAAACATGTTTTTTTCTATTTGTCTGGAGACCTAGGAGAGTTGGTGCCGGTTCAAAGCACAGGTAAAGGAAGAGGGTTGGGCATAGGGCTAGCAATCGCATGCTGTAAAAAGACACTGCTAAAAAAACGCCAACCAGAAAAAATCGTTGTCTTTTCTACCGCTTCCATCTATTCATTATTTATAGTAAACCGTCTTCCAGAACAACGGCTAAAAGTTGAAGATCTGGTTAATTTGTACATTATGTTCATCATCGCAAGTCAATTTTAGTCAGGGTACTGTTAGAAATCAGGAAACCAAGGATATCTGTTTTTTTTCTATTATGGGGAGCTTGGCTTTTACCATGAGATGCCAACCCAGCGGTTCTAAGTGTTCGCTGCTAGACCTGACGGTCTTGGGTTCGATTCCTGGTGGAAACGTGAGTGAATAATACAGAATCTCAACAAACTAGGACAAAACAGCTGCTTAGTACTCCCTAGTCTTAGATGATACACCAACTGAAATCAATCTGTGATGAATACAACAAATAACTAAGGTAATTAAATAAAGTAAACAAGTACAGATCCATATATTCGGATTCGTGCCACAAATTGGCTTCATCAATGCGATTTACAATTACTGGTCAAAGAGCAACAAAAAACTCAAAAGACAAATAATTTCTTATAAAATAACTGTTGTAAAAAAACTTTTAGACTTGATACAATACTATCTAAAACAAACCATCCAATTCAATGTAGAAGAAGAAAATACTAAACAACTTGGAAATTGTAGATGTTTTCGTACTATCCAAATGAAAAAATGTGGTGGAACATTAAAGAATAATTCATCATATTAAGAATAAATAACTTACATCAGGTTCGGTATATTGTAATAGTAGACCAAGAAATCTGCATGCAGTAACACCATGATAATATCTTAATTGAGGATTGATCAATGTATTCATAATTAAGTCATAAATACGATCATCTAACAGAATAGGAATAAATGGATTTTTGTTTAAAGATGAAGTAACCTGTAAGAAAAGGAATGCACCGTATAATAAAAATTATAATCACGGTTAATATTAGTTAGTTAGTTAAGTATCTACAGATAGATTTAAATCTAAACACAATGAACTACTAGCATTTAAACGTATATGAAGTTGATGAATGGTATTTGTTAACTAACAGGTTCAGTTTGTTACTGTAGGAAGTTTGCGGAGGTTGTTGAGTTTTCATAGAATATGTAAAGTGCTAATCTTAGTTCGTCAACGTCGTATGGTAATAATGATCATGTATTCACACTAGTGAATAGCTTTGAGACGTAACCCTTGGAGTTCTAGTGAGAAGCCATGATCAGTGAAAGTTCAACCGCGTCGGATGTGAAGAAGTTATCCAGTGAAGGCAATGGGAGATGGTCGTCCAATATCGCAAGTCGGTTGAAGTTAGACATGCACACCACTGGATGCTGGCTCAGTGGTAGATACAGAGGTCATGTGCTAACCCTGAGACCAAAGTCCCTGGGGTTTGAGCTACGGCGAGTTCGCAGATGTGCACCACTGAGGGGTCTCATAAAAGGACGAAACAGACATCAAGTGCACCCCAGTTTTTATTGGTTGTTATCACTTGGATCGATGCATGATACAGTCTATTAAGATTTGATTTGATCAAACGAATTTTCCCTATCACCTGTATAAATTGGATCAACTCAATCTGAAATAAGTGATGAGTGTCCATATATAAACTTTAAAAGTGATTCTATATATATATGGAAAAAGTCTCATGATAAAATATGAATAAGTAATAGTAATTAAAGTGTTCAACTTACTGAAGCAAATGTCATCATTGAATTGAATATAAGAATACGAAGTAATTCTGGTTTATCTTCTCGGACCAGTTCAACGCATAGAGAAATATAGTTCTACATATGATAGATTTATATTAAAAATATATATAAAGTTATTTAAATCATTTACTTAATACAAGGTAGTTTATTTATATTACAGGAACATAATGACATAGATTTGGTAAACAAAAAAAAAGATGAGTTGACAACAATACAAAGGCCAAACACTTGTCAGGTGGTAAGAAATCCTTATTAAACTAAATTATATTCATTGATTTAATGTACCCGAATTCTGCTACAATAGATCACAAAAAGATTGCCCACACAAATGAAGCAATGATATTGTGAAAAAAACAAAGGAAAGAGTAATACAATTGATAAATAAATGAACAATGAAAGCACATTATAAGAGACACAGTTCAGTTCAAAATACAGACAAAAAATATTTTTTTTCCGTTAAGAGAATTCTTCTTATTTGTATGAACGTTGTAATAGGAAAATAAAACGCTATCACTATTGGCTTCTATTCTGAGCCGTATATGATAACGTCACATGCTACTGGATTCCACGACCTCCAAGAACCTAAATGAGGAGTCTGATGAACCGGCAGATACCAGTCATATACAGCTCTATCTGCCATACCACGAGTCATCTCTTAGATTTTTCCACCCAGCCTCAGCACTAGTAAGCACTGCCTGATGTGTAAGTCGCTAAGATAAAAATCGTAAAAAATGGAAAAGCAAACGAAGTTTATACTTCAAGATGGTGACACAAATATCGCCTCTGTGCCCAAACATACACAATCGAACGTCCACAACGAAGACCAAGAACAAACATTTGCCACTGAGGCTTTGTTAACGTCATGCTTTTTTCTCATTATAAGCGTTTATGGAATCCTACCACATATGTTTACAGTGCAAGAACAATGTTGAATAAATTGATCACTTCACTATTGGTAAAAGGTTACCTAATGTGCAAAAAATCATTCATTATTGCATGACTGGGTATTCATGAAATATCATAAAGCCTGAGATATTAATGATTTATTGAAATCGAAGATTATTGTTGTGCGTAGCTATTACTTTACAGTTTTTATAATGAGAAAGATGAAGTAACCTGCTTATATTATTATTAAGCCATAAACAAAAGTCATACTTATATTACTATGAATTTGTAAATCGTGGTGTTTTGAATTGAATAGCATGGATAAAACCAATATTAGAAATTATTTCAAGTTAGTTTAGGAACTTAGACATTAAAACACACAGTGACTAGATAGTTAAAAGTTTGAAAAAAACCCTACATTTATACTACTCATCAACACCTAACTAATCATACTGGTTAGTTAGAGATGTGTAGATGACATCTTTATCATTATAAACTAAATGAATTAGTTAAAAACGTTAACAGTATACCTAACGCCACTAGATTTACCAAAGAGATCAAGTATGCTTACTACAAACTGCCATTTCTTGACTGTTTGATTACAACGAAACATGATGGTTTTCAAAAAATCAATATATTCCGAAAGCCAATACATTCTTAGAAACATCCAGATTACAAGTCAGCACATGGCTTTTCTACAAAGGTGATAGTTAAGAATTTGATAAACAGAGTTCGAAAACTTGTCACAGAACCGAATGACATAGAAACTGAGTTGAATTTGGCAATGTCTACTTTGGTGATGAATAATTATCTTAGCGACTTTACAAAAAAAATAATAGAGAAGGTCAAAAAGACAAAGGGAAAGAAAAACGAAAAGAATGGATTAGGACGGTAGTGATTCCATATTTCAAAGAGACGCTATTGCTTATTGGCACTCGGGCTCCTTCTAACCCACTCACCAATCAGAAGACGAAGGCAGAAAGCTGATCAGTTCTCTGTCGTAATCAGTCCAATTATGACTCAAGACTCATATAACAATATACTAGAAATGTCTGATTACATAGTAACATAACTAGAAAGTTACGATGTGCACATAAACTAGCCATAAGTGACGCACAACCAAAGGTAGAGGGGAACAATTAATCGATGATAAATTTGGAATAATAAGAACTAACGACGATTTGTGGATCAGACGGAAGCTTGAGAATAAGAGGGTGAAAAAAATGTAACATTCAAAGACGTCTACTAATTATACAACCAAAATTAATATGATGGGAAGAAAAGTCAAAATTAGATTGATTTATTCATTATAAATGTTATTCAACATTAATTTCGTTTTAACTCGATATGCTGATTATTCAGTGTAGTATTCGGCTTTGTTTTCCCGTATGGCATTTTATTCTGCATAACATACGGTGTTCTTGTATTCAATGGACATGAACTATGCTCAGCATGTGATTTGTGATAACTGTATATATGTGATTTTATTCTAATTATTAATCAAAATCGGTTTACGAATCAATATATAAATGAGTATAATTTCGACTAGAGTCGTCGTCGATGGCGTGTTTTGCGGTTAATAAATCAACATTTATACCAGTTTTTGTGTTTTTACTTTCGCGTGATGGGAATTGCAGAGGTCCTTCATTTCGAGTATAAGTGATAAGCGATTCCGACATAACGACCAGATATAACAAGTAGCGTTCAATTGACAAGACATATCAAAAATACAAATAATAATCCTTTGTATGATTTCCTGAAAAGTTGAACTTCGGCATTATTCGTCCCATAAAACCGCATGGATATATTTTTAAAATTATCCGAGTAGTCTTTCCAGTAATTATATCGAATAAACTTATGACAGTAAACTTAGTTTGTCTTACCTATATATATATATATATATATATATATATATATATATATATATATATATATATATATATATATCGAGAGACAACTACAGGTTTAAGCATTTAATATTTACTAAGCGGAACGGACTGATGTTTTACATTCTAATGGCATTCACTTTGCAATTCCGAGCGAATCACACTCAAAAAACAAGAGGGTTTTGATTAAACTGGAATTTTATCAACTAACCTCCATGAAATCTTTAAAATGCTCCGGTCCTAAAAGTATCGCGCTAAGTTCCTCATTTGTACTTGATGATCTACACTTGTGAACGCCACTCAGTAAACAGTCCAACGTCTGAATAGCGTTGGCAACTCGGATGCGATGTCCATCATACTGAGCTGTTTGAAGGCATTGTATAAACAATCTGTTGAGCTGAGGCTAATAAATAAAAAGAGAATTTCAAGTTAAAATATAAACCAATCTTATAAAAACGAAAGCATCTTAAACAAGGTTACCTTATAGGCTAATTCACAGGCTCTAATATTTGCCAAGACTTTTTAAATTAAGAACCTACGAAAAAAGTCAGATGTACATTAAACCTATACGAAACAATACAGCTATAATGCCAAAATGATATTTTACCAAATGAATGAAATTCACGCCAAAATTCAAGACCTAACTTAAATATAATTGGTTCGTACGTAAATTATAGTTTTGCCGTCGATCCAATCGCCCGTCCTAGTTGTTATATTATTTCCGATCTATATTAATCAAAACTCAGAATAATTTATTTGATAAACCCTTGTTCTTCGGATGGTACCGTAAGTGATGCTTCGATTACTAAATATGACCAGCTATTCTAATAAGGTAACATCAGTCACTGGAAGCTGTCCATGGAGCAAAGTTACTAAAATATGTATTTGACAAAACTTTAAATAGTAGCTCTTAAAAGTTTTACTAATCAGCTGTATGTACTTTGAAAATACATGAAATACAACTTGACAATAGATAGTAAAGAAATATTTTTCAGGCCGTGCCACTAGAATGCATGTACGCCTGCTCCGCACCACTTAAAGCAACTTAGCACGAATACAAGGTCTTATGATTAGGTTAGCTTAATATTTTTCTTAAATCGATTATGTGAAATCAGCAGTGACCTAAACTTTACACATGTTCGGAAACAACCAGTGTGAGCGACACAAATAAACATGATTGGCATGTACTGCAAAACAAGAATAATTTGAAATTCGCTAGTAGTTGATAATACCTAACCTACATCAGTGGTTTTCAGAGTGGTCAGATGAAACATTTCGAATTAGTTTGAGGCTATCCAGTCAAATGAAAAAAAGTTTATCACAGAATAACACCAACAAAAGGACAAACCTTCAGTCTAACAAGATCTTCTGAACTTGTTTTCTCAAAGTGTGCAGACAAACATTTGAGATTGGGCTAAACATTAGAGACAAAAGTAATGAAACATTTACTTTCAGTAGGAAAAAGTCGTCCCAAAATTCCGCTCTGCCTTGAGTGATGTCTTGTCCTTGGAACAGCTTATCATATACCTGAAGCACTTTCTCTTTAAGTGAACCTTTCGGAGTCTTTTTCCTTTCTCCAACCACAGACATCACTGTAACTACTGTATACAAACCACGCACAGCTTAACGACCTAAAATGCGGTATAGGCAAACAAATATCCTATAAATTTGGGATTTATTAGTATAGACTGATTGATTTCCATGCGTTCTTTCATAAGGTAACGTTGCAGTGTTTTTATCGTTCTATTTTTAATTAGGTGGTTCATATTTCATGATTATAAGTATGTTGATCCTAAGGTGTTCAACATTTAACACTTAAAGAAGGTCGAGGATGATGACAGGAGGGACACTTAATTGTTATGTCACAGCTCGGTAATCCATTAAGGGTCATTCTACTTAAGCTCTCGCTTTTCAGACTAAATAAACACTTCTATTTCCGGGCCAAATGTAATCTTCAGCCACTAACTGTCACGGTAAGATGAGTCAGTATATACAATGATGTTACTTTCACATAATATCTGATAGATTAGGTAGTCGCATCATAGCAAATGTACAAGGGTGGAGTTGACCTGTTATTTTGGTAGCATAGAAAAAGTTATGAATAGACACTGAGCCGAGTTCTATTTCTCTAACAAATTCCTACTAATTGTTATCTTCGGATACGTCAAGTTCGTCCTCTATGGTCATCAAAGTGGCCCCATTACCTGGGTACCGCGAAATGGTAGTCCACATCAGACATTATCTGGAGGTGTGACTTCAGTGCTAGCTAACGGTAGTAGATACTATCTAGATGGCGCTGCGTATTTTCGTATGCTTAACACCACCTCTATTATACCCTACGTGTGTAAGGACACAAGACAGGTGAAAAAGGGAAAATAAACTAATATACATGCGTTTTGTTAACATGCGGTGGCGTAGAAACAATTTCAGCATGATGATTTCTAGGTTTTTTTCGGAGAACGTAAATTGATACACATACATGCGGGTAAAGAAAATTTTTTTAAACAATGATGTAAAAGAATGGAGAGATGAAACAAAATGTTAAGTTAATTTTCACGTGCAGTCGTCATTCAAGTGTTCTGCAAACCCTAGCCTTTCTACAGAACGCGTTGACGTAGGCTGTCTGTTAGATATCACTGAAGTTTCTTCGTGACTGTTTATTATGTAGTGGGTTGCCGTAATCTTGGGGTTAAATTGTGCCGGAGGAAAACTAATATTATTAGAGTCTCCTTCTAAATTCGCAACTTTAACACGGCCAATACTGACGTTACCGTTAGTTCCTTTCTTATCGATGATATAGTACTTACGTTTGATGAAGCCTTCATATGCCATGTCGAGAGGTCGTCGTAATGAGCTGCGATATACAAAAACGTATGTGCTATATCGTAGGGCAGATCAAACGAAAACATTAGTTGGCTGCGATCCGGTTGAAACAGGTTGAATTGAACACATCACGTTTGCAAGCCAGTTCGTGTGGGAGGATCCACGAATTCTCGTGAAAGTCGAAGTTCCGTCCTATTAACGAGTTGTGCTACAGTGTATCCAACGTCAGCTTTCAATGCGTTCTGAATATCGGGCAACACGAGTGGAAAGGCGTCTGTTCATTGTGAAATGTTTGCAGCTGAAGATGAAGATTTTAGCTGTCGTTCGAAATACCTTTTTGTTTGTGGGTGGCAGTGGTGGTTTGGAATCTTAGGATTCTTGGTAGAGTGGTCAGACAACGGAGAAGTTCAGATTCGAACTAGCGTTCACAGTCTGCATTGATAGTAGAAGTGAAGCCGAAGTCTGCTTCCCATCGTTCGACGGAGGCGCGAGCCAGTGCTTCAACAGTAACGTACTTGATGGCTACTTCCGGCTTTTATGTGAAAGGATCCACAAACATTGAGAGGCAAGAGCGTCTTCTTCATTCAGTTAAATGTCCTACTGAACACAGATGATCATAATCAAGCCGAGCTTTGGAAGCTGTGATGGAGCTCAAGGGACATTCGTTTTGTCTATCACCGTAGATTTCTTGCGGTTTACACAGGAACATTCCGACTCCCTCACGTTGTTATTCATACCAGGCCGTCAAAATCGTTCCGAAAGGAGTTTGGAGGTTGCTCGAACAGCTGGATGAGAAAGTTTGTGCAACGTATTGAAGACGTATCTTCGATAATATTTCGGCACAACTGAACGTTACCACTGAGTTATTTTAGCCGCGACTGACCTACAGTATGACTGAGATATATTTACAATTGACTGATCACTGAGTGGTAATCAACGTCGGGTCCTTCTTAGTGCAGATCGAGTCCTATCGAATCCATCAGGGAGTATCAGTTCTCTCACGATTACAGGTACACCTTGTTGACGAGTACCAAGAAGCACGAAAACTAGGTCCAGGGTTTCCTGTTGACTACCCCCAACCACCATCTTACTTCAACATAGTGCACACAATGTCGTGGCACCTAGACTGGTGGCCACATCACAACATGGTCGATAGCATTCGATCTTCACTAAGAAAAACCTGACGTACGTGACATTGATCACAACCCAGTGACCAATGTATTGTAGTTATGTCACATAGTAAATTTTCCTTAACTGATCCGATCAGTTTGAGCCGTAGTTTCAGGGTAGTCAGAAACACATCGTGCTGAAAATCGGTGAAGTTGAGCGAGTCTATAAAGACCGATTCCTTGAATACTGTTCATAGTCATAGGAGACAAGGCACCTGCCACAACATTGTGTGCCCCAGAAATATGTTGTATATCTGAAGTAAACCGCGATATACAGTCCAACTGTCGAGGCTCTGGAGCGAAGTATTTGTCTGAAGACGAAGTTAGAGAAAAGGTGAGGTGTTTATGACCGGTAAACACAGCGAATTATCGGCCTTCGACAGAGCACTGAAAGTACCGTACAGCACAATACATAGTTAATAATTCACCACTGAAAGTGCCATATCTCGATTTGCTATCCTGCTGTATTTTTAGGGATCATGTGCAAGGGAGATACTCATGTGCTATTCGATGACCGAACAATTCTTAAGTGTATCATGTAGTCGAATTCATTTTTGGCCAACCTCAGCTTTTGAGGAGCTAGCCACTGTTAGGAGAGGTTTGTGACGTCATTCTGCCTTGGGGTCCTAGTGATTTCCGGAATCCAGTCGGCAAATGCAACCCGTTCGTTTACAGCGTTATTTTGAAATGAGGCAAGGACTGCCTGTACCTGTTGGGGAAGCTAAGATAAGGAAATCTGTCTTAACAGGTCATCGTCAAAGGTTCGTTTACCAATGAACTTTTGCATTCGTAGCAACATTTCAGCTGCTGAGCGATACTGCAGCTAAATGGTATGGAAGAGTTGGTGTATATTTTGTTGGTCGTGTAGGTCTCTACATATAAAGATAGCCTATTTTTAGGTTTTGTAGGGTTCCAAAACATTACTAGTAAACATATTAGGTGTGACGCACCATAGTACTTTGATCACTGGGAAGAATTGTGCCCGTAGGTCCTTCACGCTGTGCTCGTCGAAGTTATCTTCTGCGTAGCAGAATCAGGCTACAATGTTGTCGGAACAGAACGGCATGAGATGAAATGTGGGAGGCGACAGAGTCTTTGTGGTGGCATTGGTCCAAATAATTTATGAGTCTATCCCGCCATGAGGAATATAAAACACACCAACAATCGAGAAAAGAGACCTGAAAACATGAGAATGATGTCAAAATATATTAAAATAAAAATACGAAATAACGTTGATGTTTTAACAAGGAACAAACTAACAGACTACGAGTTGATGTACCAGATCACATCGTGCTCACCACCACAGATGCCACAAGTTTGACAACGCCTTGACACATAACACTTTTGTAATCGAAGTACTCCAATTTAATCAAATCAGAAGCCAGAATTGAATATCTATCTTCCCAGTTATCTCACATTCAAGTTTGACGATTGTGTGTTTTTTGACTGATACTACTGCAAGCTTTCATTTGACCTATTGGCTACTTTTATGCGACTTTCCACTCTTAACATATTCTTAATTTATCAGTTACTGTATCTCACACTCACAGCCACTGTTGACTAGATTCCATATGATTATTATTTTTCATCTTATGGTGTGATGGGGTCTAATCTGCTTTTATATGAACCACGTGTGTAGGAGATACCCGAGTCACAGCGGATGATAATATTTGTACCCTGGACTGGACGGACTGAGCTAGGCGTGATATTGCTACATTAAGGACCAGTAAAGATTCAGAGTGGACTCTAAGCTGCTCGTACTGGTTACCGCATCATTAAATTGGCATAGGGACAACTTCGTTTGAAGTTAGTGTTCTGACTGGCGACTTGTCACGCGATTTCTTGACGGGCCATAGGACATAACAATCTGAGTACGTTTTATATCATTGTTTCGCTCTTAAGAAGGTAGCAACATTGTCGCATAATTCAATAATTTTGTTATATATATTACAGCACCTCTCTATTTTATTGTTAGAATCATTTCAACGATGAAAATACAAATAGTGCAAAAGGTCAAGCTTCATGTGATTCTCTTTGGATTTCTCCCTTTTAGTCTTAAAAGCTAGTTGACTCTAACCATCAACACTTGTTTGACTGTTAAAATTATGTGCTATCCGATATAGTCTCTAATAAGTAGTTGAACTGATCTAGTAGATATAAAACGAATTTTGAGAATGTAGGGTCAAGCACTGTGTCCCACCTACGTGGGTTATTCTAGCTTACGGACAGATTAATTTATTCATGACTTTCGATTCATCATCTACACATGTTTTGGTCTTCTTGATTATTCTCTTATAACCTTGATTGTCTCTAAATGAGTGTGTGCGTTTGCCACTTAATCTTTTCGTCACACGTCTCTAGCTTATTTTATCTAGCTATAAATAGCGGGTCATGTTTTGTAAGATGGAGTATGCACACATTCCTGCCCCGCTTTTCGTTGTTAATGCCCATCTGGTTAAACAAGTGCGTGAAATAAGGACAACCAGCTGAATCCATTATTGGCTTATGATAATGGCTGTTGCACAAATGAGGTTAGCCTTCATGTTATATACGCAGTTAAATGGAAAATCAGTATTTATGGCATATTCATACATTTACTCGAATCGAAGTCAGGTCATGGGCACTGTAAGAATAACAGATTGTTGATTATTTCCAAGAGTGTTTGTTTCATATTACAGATATACCTGTAACAGCTTAGGTTGGTTGGTTAAAAGTTGACCTCAAACAACCAAGCACATGCCAAAACAGTATAGTTCAAGTATTCATTAACTTCCTTATTTTGTATACGCGTTA